TTTTGTCCTAGATTCTTGGAGCAGCATGAACCAGTAGTTCCTTGGCAGTCAGCAAGATGCATTTGTTTGTTTGCAGATCAGGCAGGCTTCCTGGGTCCCTCTCTATAGCAGCACCTTGTTTCACCAACAGACTTATTCTTCTCTTTTTAGCAGGCCGTAAACTTTCAGAGAATCCTCAGGAGAGCAGATACTCTGCTTGCTAATGTCTGCTTTCAGTCTGCTGGGACCTATTTGGCTTAGTGTTTACACTAATGAACTTAGCACAGGAAATTTCGCTGATGACGTGAAGCTGAGTGACCAAACCAATAGAGTGGAAGCTGGAGATTTAATACAGGAAGACCTAGATGTTCCTGAAGTCTGGAGCAGGAGGAGATAAAATTAAATTATTCAAAGTGCAAGATCATATGTGCAGGAGTTGTTAGTGATGTTTTACCTATAAAAGCCTGTAAGGTTGTTTGCCAAAATGAGATGGTAAGTAAAAGGACTCTAACATGCTACTTCATCACACAAAGGTTGAACCTCTTATTATGAAAACATAAATGCAATCCATTGTGTGTTGGAAGTAATTCTAACAGACATACACAACCTTAGAGGGGGGTGAAAAAATAATGCCTCAAAACTCTGGTAAGCTCTCCTCTGTAGTATGTCAGGCAGTTATAGACACCAGTGTTCATAAAAGGCAAATTTTATGGCTGTGTGGAGCCAGACTGAAATTTTATCATGCAAGAGGACAGTCAAATAGCAGGATGTGTGTTGGATCATGTATTTTTGCATCTCTGGGGAAATTATTAACTCAGCCAGAGACCTCTGGGGATCCTGCAGAGCTCTGCATGGAGATTGCATGGTTCAGCACAGCTGGAGGGCTCCCATGTGAGGTTCATAAGCCTGAGCTGATCCTGCGCACAAAACTGGGAGTATTGGTCCAATGTCCCCTGGCACTTGTGCAAAGACATAGCTGAGGCTCTAGAGGTGAATTATTGCACAGCCAAGCAAGTCTGGCAAGGGCTGTGGATTGAAGCTCAAAGCCGCACAAAAGCAGCTCCAGCTGTTCCCAGAAAAGAGCTGGCCTTCAGAGCCGCAGCAATACGGCTGCGTGACGCTGCCTTCTGCAGCAGCTCTGAGCTTGAGCTCTTCAGTTACACAGCACCTGGGTGTGCTGACTGCAGGTCTGAAACTGTGCTCTTAGGTGGATGTGACCCATATTTGGAAGTACTGGTAGGACAGCAGAAGCCGGAGAATCATTTTTTGAGTGCAGAGGATTTTAGAAGTTTCCCCTCCTGCTCCTCTTGCCCTCAAAATGCTTCTGTGCAGTGGATGTTGGAGTCTGAACATCTCTTCATGAGGAGCAGAGATTTTTTTCTTTGATACCTGCTGTTTGCATACTACTAGACACAGAATTGACAAGGATTTCTGGTTTTTTGGGTTTTTTTTCGCCTCCAAGTTCCTTAAAATTTCTTTCTTTCCTCCTAATACCCATTTATCCATATTTCTGTTATGAGATAGATAGGAAAGAATCTTTAGTTCCAAAAAGTGAAGGAAAAAAAAAAAAAGTTACATACTGCTTTGTAACTGGAAACTGAGAAAGCAGAAAATAAGCAGATTGTCTGGCGCTCTTGAATATGCACTTGAGCCAGTGTGATAAGAAAGAGTTAAATTCCTGGTTTTCTTAACTTGCATTTACAAAAATTTGCCCTTAGGCAATTAGTTTCTCTGAAGAATGGTTTTGTTGATATGCTGCCATTCCTCTCCAGTATTTCAAAAGATTTTTACATTAATATTATATCTGCCCCACAGGTTATTCTGAGGAAAGGAAATTTACAGCTTTGGACAAAAACCTTTCAATGGGTTTTGTCTGCCTGCTTTTCTTACGCCCCTCCCCTTCTGTGGAGGGAGGCTTAATCAAGTCATACCCATTTTGTGTCTCTCTGACAAGTGTGTTAAATGTGTATGTTCAAAGATGATCTTGAATACACACAGCTAGCTAAGAAGAGCCAAGAATGTTCTTTCTTTTATAGGGCAGTTCAGAGAACTAGCTTGTATCTGACAGCCCTGCAGACAGGCTTTTCCCCAGACTTCAGAGGCCAAAGACTTGACTAAATTCCACTTGAAGTTCCTTGTCTGTAGGGTCCAACAGGTGCAGCTACCTCCATCCATATGCATCTCTGTTGCAGCTTGTCTCTGCCGTTCTAAGCAGCAATGGGAAATTGAAAGCTGAATTTGTGGAATGATTTTGCACTGACTGTATGGAACCAGGAGTGCCAAGCCTGGCATTAAATTAATGATTTGACTTGTGAAATGAACGATCTTTCTTAAAAGGCAATGTTGCCATTTAAGAGCACAAGCACCAGACTTCAGTAGGTAGACCGTTATTGATAACTTGTTCTCTATGTTGATCAGTACTGCTTTTTTTGCAAAGTGTATACTGTAAAAATACTTTGGTGGAAAAATGAGGCATACTTAGAATAATTATCTAAACATTTGTGTCAAATAAGTGATAACACAGATCTTTTATCTTTCTCAGCAATGTGCTTGAGCAGTGTACATTCAAAATAACTATTGTTTTTAGTTTAGCAACTGAGAAGTGATTTCGTTTGTTCTTTGATATTTGATCTGAGGCAATTTTTCTACTGTTGTCAATGGACAGACTCACAGAGGTCTTGTTCAAAGAATTTGTATTTGTTCTTGGAAAGAAGTGGGACAACTGTTTTTCATCTTCTTTGTATTGATTCCTTTGATACTTAAATGGCTCTACTTTCAATGTATTAATATCCAAAGTAAGGAAAAACCTTTATGCATATGCTAATTTTACACTACTCCGTTATTAGCAGTTTTTGTGCAGGAAGAATTTTCTCAGCTCATGTGCTGGCTTTCAGTCGTATTTGGACTATAACAGGAAAATTCTCATCTCTTGCCTCCAGGGCAGAGCAAACATACATACTAACAGGATTAAGAGAGACTCAAGACTCAAGTAAAATCAGTTATGATCTCAAAAGGTTGTTTTCAGCACACTAGAAGTAGAAAATGAGTCACATTAATCGTATCTTGTAAGGCTGAGAACTCAGTATATTTGATAAATTGGGATCTGCTTCCTCAGACAGTTGACTTAGAAAAATAAGAAAAAAAAACTTTTTTAAAACTGTAAAAACATCAGGAAATCAAACTGCTGTTTGATCAATCAACTGCCAAGAGCAAAAAAAAAAACAACAAAACATCTTTCTGACAAATTAAGTCTTCAGTATTATGAAATCTTCAGAGTGAATATTGAATGTGAGAGAAAGTGTTGAGATGCATAGATTCATTGACCTAGTTAAGAGTTTTCAGTTAGAATGAAAGAAATACTTGGAGTGTATTTTTCTGTCCAAGACTGCTTTGCGTACTTAGTGGATTAAAATTGTAGCAAATTTTTCCCTGTCATTTTATTCTGGCTGTAAGATAGAAGTGAGTTGTTTCTTATCAGATAGATCATGTCTCTGTAATCTAAATGGTGTAGATATTTCAAATTCAGAGAGGATGAGGACATTGGCTTTGAGGTTGGTGAATGTGTTTCTGATATGGCTCACAACTGTCAGTCTTTGCATCTGCTTTCTCTTGCTTTTATAGATTTCCAAGTTTGGAGTGAGCTATTAAAATATAATTCAGTGGGAATAAAGCTCAGTTTCTCATAATTTTGATTTGTAGATGTTTTAGGTGCAAAACACAGATTTCACATTCATGCAATCTGGATAATAATCTTGCAACTTAATTCAGGAAATACTGGTAAGCATTACCAGGGCATTTATAGAAAGTTTGTCTCATCTTTACTTTTTGAAGGTAATATAAAAGCAATTGTCCTGAGATTTTTACTTTTATAGCTTGATATTAGTCACATCAAATGTGATTGGAGGGTTCTTCGGATTATATTACAAATCCATAGCTATTCTACTTCAGTCTTAATCAGCCATCTACACTTGGGGAACACTTGAGTTCTCTCTGCTATGGTTTTCAAATTTTACTTAAAAAAAAAAAAAAAAAAAAGCTTCTTAACAATGTATTATATTACTTTAGGTTTGTGAAATTAACATTAACAGTGGATACTAATCACCAAAGAAGCGATCAAAGGAAGTGTGATTTTTAAAAAGCATTTAATTGATGCAAAAGTTGTGAAATACTTGAGTCCCCCTTAATCAGTATATTTTGAAATGCAATTCCTGTGTCAGTGGAGTTGAAGGTATTGGCAGTTATTCTTGTGAATTTGAGGCCTGATTTAGTTGTTACACTGCTGTTTTTGCTGCACATGTAGAGTGTAAAGACCATAATAAGTCTTTGAAAGTTTTATTTGTAGGAATTTTTTAATTTTTTTTTAAAGTTAGAAAACTGCTATTTTATTAATAGTAGAAGGAAAGCCCTCATAGGATCTAATCTCATTTACTACTAAGTAGTCTGGAGGGGTGGTAGGCCTGCAAGCAGCTCATGGAACTGCAAGAACAAATGCCAAGTCCTGCTCATGTAAAGGAATAGCTACAGCAGGGATGCAGGCTGGGGATGAAGAGGCTGAAAGAGTAGCTCTGCAGAAAAGGCCCTGGGAGTGTGAGAAGGCAGCCAGGTGCCCAGCAGGGCTGTGCCTTCTCTGCTCTGGGAGATCCAGCTTTGAGCCAGAAGACAGACTTAAAGACCTTCTGAGGTCTACTTCAGCCTGAAGGATCATATCCTTCAGTGTTTCCATGATTATTTATTTATTAAATTTTGCATTTTGATTTAGATTTAAAATTTATCTTATCTCTTTAATTTGCATGTCTAAAATGTTACATGCTGTCCGTTCAGAAAGTTATTAAATTCAACTAGCACTTACTGTGCCTGTGTTGTGTGTGTGTGTTGTTCCAAGCCTTTACCAAGCTCACTTCTCAAAAATAGTTGTATCAGAATCGTTTTTGCATCCCTCCGCTTACTACTACTTTCATGTGCTCCTTTCATGTGTAAACTTGCCATGTGATTAATATGATTTTGTTTGTTTGTTTCAACAGAGGGAGAATATATCAAGATGTTCATGCGGGGTCGACCAATCACAATGTTCATTCCTTCTGATGTAGAAAACTATGATGATATTAGGACTGAGCTGCCTCCTGAAAAGTTAAAACTGGAGTGGGTGTATCCTTGATATCAGTAGCTATCTCTTGGTGGCTTGTTTGATTTTCTTGTCTTGCCTTGTCTTTCTTCTTCATTATGTAGCCTTGTCTTCAATGGAGGAAGATATTTAAAAACAAACAAACAAAAAAGCAATAGCAAAACAGTTAAAGCAGTTTGTCAGTACTTTAGAATACATTTTTAAGTTGTAGAAACAGAAAACCTTTACTCTTTTTACTGTTGAAACCAAGTGCAGTTTATTTTTAGGAAGAATATTGCCTTTGGAGAGCTACTGAGTTTCAAAATTCCTCCCCTATATTCTCTATAAGATAGACCGTATTCAGGAACACAGTTATTTTTTATTTTGTGTACATAACTGGAGATTTTAGATCTACAGAAGCTCTTGAATAAGATCCAAGATTTCTCAGAGCTCCTATCTATGGGAAATGATTGCAGTAGCCACCTGCCCAAATTTTTTTGCACTAATTTTGTTTCAACTCTGAATTGAAGGGATTCATTTATTGGGGAGAGCGGTGTACTTTATGTAAATAATTTTTCCTGAGGAGATGAGTAGCTATGTGGCTGACAACAATTCTTCAGGCTTAGTAAATCTGGAGCTCATAACAAATGCTTCTGCACACATTTGGGCCTTCTTTCATGTCTTCCCATCTCTACAGAATCTTCTAATAAGTTTTGATTGTATAATTAAGCTTTTTAGTCCTTCTGTAAAAGAACATGTCTAGACAGCACTTGAGTTGTTGTAATAATCTGAAGCTTGATCCTTCTGATCTTGCTGAAAGCAATAAGATTTTAAGAAATATTGATGATGCACTATCGTATGTCAGGAGATGTGTACAGAGAGGAGCTCTCTCAGCATATCCCATAGCAACTAAGACATGCATCTTTTTTAACTATCCTTTCTTAGTCATTTTAGGGAAGATGATTTCCCTATTATTTTCCTGCTTTTATTGGGGGAAGCTAATGATACTGGATACTCAGTTATGAAGAGCAATTGTGGAGTCTATTCAACTTTGCAGAAAGATTGTAAAAGCGTAGAACATAAAGGAGGAATTTGGGTTTACTAGTCTGATCAGAAAGAAAACTGAGCTCTTACTCAGTCTTTATGAAGCTGTGGTGCCCTGCCTTTCCTAGTGTCACTGCTCCTCGGTGCTGATGCTGGCACTAATACGACCATGGAATGAATTGAGTCAGTTGCTGATCTGGCTGAAATGCAATCTTTTTTGTGGAGTTAACTTTCAGCTGGATCAACTCATTAATTTGATTTGTTCCATAAACACACAAGGAGCACAACCAGCACACTGGAGGAAGGTCCGACGTACTTTTTCAGCAGCAGCAAGAAGTTTGGACTGATGAAAGCTGATCGTGAAATCATACCATCAGCTAAGTATGTGCAAATCCCAGTGTGGAAATGCTTATTCGGTGTCCAAGGACCTCAATTTCAGGTTAAACCAGTTCTCTGCTGAGGGCTAATTAAAGTGAAATATATCTTGTGTAAACAAAATGCCCACATGTTTTTACAGTCTGTTTAAGAAAATATAGTCCTGAATGAGACTGGTATGTTTCTGTTTGTAGAATATCTTTTAGATATGATGCTGAAGAAAACAATGAGGAGAAAGCTGGGAAGTTTTTGAAGCAATAATATTGATTTGTATGACATTGAACAAAATTGGCATTCAGTTCTTGAGACACAAAGTTATAGCTGCAAATCTTGTAGTCATGCAAAGGCTGATAAGTCTGCAAGCCAGCCATAAAATCCAAATATAATTGCAGACTGAAGCCTGTGAACTTGATGAACAATACATGGGACAGTGATTCACAGGGTATTTTAGTGATGCCAGTTTTTTGCAACTGAAACATTTGATTTGCAATCAAGTGTTCGATAGTTCAATCTGTATGCTTTGTTTTGAACACCTTTTATTTCTCCAGCAGTTACCTTCTGGATGGTTGTGTACAATCATGCTTGCCTTTGATATTACCTTTCTGTAGCATGCCATTTACAGGCTAAATGATGAACTGTGAGAATAAACATCTTTCAGGCAAGAAGAGAGGGAAAAAGTTTTGAGGTAGGGTAGGGCTTTTGGTGTTTGCTTGTTGTTGTTTTGGGGAGAAGGAATATTTTCAACAAATGATTGCCAGAACTATAGGTTCAGTAGAAAACACCCTGCTGTTCTTTGCCCTGCCCTGTCACTTGGAAAAGAACTAAGTGACTTGGCAGGATAAAGTAGTTCATGGGGAAATCTGAGCTCTTGAGTGTGTCTGCTTCTTGAGTGATTTAATTTTAATTTAGTTTGGACTTCCCTGCTCTATGATACAGTCTTGCTTCAATTCAGAATTGTTTAAGGAATCTCTGGAATTCCTAATAATAGGAGAATGGGCTGCTATAGTAGCTGCTGAGATCACCATTAGTGTTACTAACGAGTGACAGTGACTTTTCAACTTCCTTCTCCCAGTGTAAAGTTACTCAGTTCCTGGAGGGAATTTCTGACTCCTTTTTGTAAGCTTATTTTTAGCACTGGTGTTTTTCTTTGTAAGAATAATTCAAGTCAGCAGTAACAATGCTATTAAATTCTATTGTTCAATGAGATCACTTCATGGGGCCATGACTATTCTTATCCACTTCAAAACAAACAAACAAAAGACAATAAAATCTGTGAAGTATGTCATTTTTTATGGCAAAACAGTTCTTGTGATTGGTGAGAAGCCTTCACAACATTAAGATGGTTACCTCTGAATTTCCCTGGTTGGAACATCAGCCTCACTGAAAGATAAACATTGAAATTTAGTATAAGTTAGGCATCAAAATTGTGGCTTTTTTTGTTGTTTTTGTTTGTTTTTTGTTTGTTTGTTTTTCTGTAGAGAAAGGGCAATTATTATATTAATGCATCTCTGCTACTTTGTTCTGAGAGTTTGGTGACGGGAAGATGTTTTGTGGAGCAGCAACACTTCTCGTTTTGAGGAAAGTAAAAATTTCTCTCGGGAAACAGGTTATGGCTTTGCATGCCCTTAAAAATGCTGCCACTGTTTGGTACTGTAATTTGTACAGGGATTGAAGGAAAGGAATGGGCTGAGAAAACAATTTTTTTATTTTTGCAGCCTTGGTGAATACTGCAGCTCAGTAGTGGATGCCAAAATATTTAGCCATAGCTTTGCATGTTAAACTGCTACAAAAGGATGAATGTTCAAAGATGTCAGTCTCAATAAATCCTTGCCATTGCAGTCCTTGCTATTTTCAGGAGATGAACACAATCTGCCTTTCTTCTTTGAGATGGCATTTAGACTAGTGTTCTCTGTGTTTCTGTATAGAAATAATATTTTCATTGGCTTATAGCCCATCATTTCTGAAAGTTAACTTTGTTTTGTTTTGCTTTTGTAAAGGGCCATTCTAGAGTTTCTTTTCGTTCCGCTGATGTTTAAAGGTGGAAAAACTGGTGAGAAGTTAAATGATGATAAAGAAGAATCAGAAGCATCCTTTCTTCTTATCTCACCATTCTGTTACATCAGTATTTCTCTTGATATCATTTGTTAAAGAAAACAGTGAATAATTTCATTTTCAGAGTCACTGTATTATTCTACAATATGGGAATCTGTTTCCGTTTCCTTGATCTTAAGGCACTTAATTGAAGACTGAATGCATTATCCCTCTTCAAACCATGGTTTAGTTACAGTATTTAATGATTTTAATTTTGCAAGTGTTCTAGTGGCATAGTATTACTGTAGTTTAATAAGACTACATAAGAGGAAATCACTTTATTTGCTGGTAGCATGCAGGGGTTTTTTTGGGAGTGGAGGGTGACGTCGAGAGGGGTGTGGTGGTATTTTTGGTAGAAAGGTAGCCCTTGTCCGAGCCCTTGTCCAGGCTGTCAAGTGGGGAGATATTAGTTTAGATGCTCCAAAATTTGGCCTACTATGCCTGCTTTTAATAAGAGACAGCTAGCTTGAGCCATTCAAATTTCTCCATGTTGGTCTTTGACTTTGTCCTTTCTTTCTGATTATCCAAGAGCTTGGAATCCTTCAGCTAAAGTTGCATGTTTTTTTCTTTCTTGTTGCAGATGTAGTTGGTGCTGAATTGGGAACCTCTGTCTTGTGTGTTGTGCAGGACATAACAGGAAAGTTTGATGGTTTTTTGTTTGTTTGTTTTTTACAATTAAGATCTCAGAGCTACTACTGCAGTCTGAGTGATGATTTTAATAGTACTTAATGACTGTGGGACTTGAAAAACAAGTAGACCACCACATTAATAGTCTAAATGGAGAAAGTTGCACCAGTTTCAAAGTAATAACAAGTTATAATAAAATTTGATCGTGGCTAACCAAGCCTGGATTGTAGTGCTTAAAAACTCTGAATGTTGTAGGGGCAGGAAAGTAATGCAGGCTTTTTAGAAAAATCATCCGTTTTATGTATATTGGGTTGTTTAGGGTAGACTATTTTTTACTATCAGTTCCTTTCAAGATTTATTTGCTTTAAAAATACTCTAAAGCATTCTAAAACACTATTTCCTGAACTTGGCAGCTGCTGTGCCACAGTTTGCATTTTTCTGAAGGAATTTTCACATGCTTGTTTTGAAAAGCCAAGCAGAGCCAACGTACTGGTCCCCAGCATGGAGGTGCCCAACTCTACTGCTGTTAAAGGTGTTAAGCCTGGATAGTGACATCCTGCTGCTACCTCATGAAAATTCACATTGAGAATTTCTGTAAGGTGACACAGTTACATTTTGTTTTACCCCAGTGCCTTACATTTTCACATCAATGATTATCACTTTTTAACAGTGATCGCTTTTCTGAAGTCTTGATTCTTTTTAATACATTTTTTTAAATTTTAATATTATTTTTTTTTATTTTAATATATTTTTAAACTGTTACTAAAATTGTGCTGTAGTTTCAGAGGAAAACAAAAATGGCACTTTGTGACATGAGAGATCCCCAGGAAACATCCTTTCTACGGTTGTTGTTTCTTATTTTTATGTGATATACAATGATTATAAAACCTTGACTTAAAAAATATGCATATAGATATGGGTACCGTGGAAGAGATTGTAGAGCCAATGTTTACCTCCTTCCTACCGGAGAAATTGTATATTTCATAGCATCAGTTGTGGTACTATTTAATTATGAAGAGAGAACTCAACGACACTACCTGGGTCATACAGACTGCGTTAAATGGTTAGTATAAAACATTTGTGTGTATGTGTGTCATAATTCAGTAAGGCGTTATTTTAATTCTTTTACTGTATCTGTGATCTCATTAATATCATCATAATTGTAGTTATTCTTTTGTTTCATTTGTCTCAGTAGATTTCACTGTAGTGAACACCATACAAATGAACAGAGCTAGAGTACTCCACACTAGCTTAGTGTTTCTGGCTTAAATTTAAAACCAGATATGTAGACAATCTAGAAGTGCCAGATTAGAGATAGAGTATCTGAATAAGTTGTTCTAAATACATACTCCAAGAATTATAAACTGATATCAACCAAATTTTTAGATCAAGCAGCTAAAGGCAATATGGCAATTTGTAGACTTGAGGAGAATTAGAAAATCAAATGGAAGACAGATGATAATTTTCTCATTTTTGATTAGTGCCCCATCCAAGTATTTAGACCATCTGAGGTAAGAGAAAGACACTTGCAAACAAAACATAAAAGCAGGAAAATTGAAGCCAATGTCGTTGTTGATGCAAATGTAGTTAGTTGGTCACTTCACAACATTAGTCTGAAAAGTAGTAGAGAGCTTTGATTTGAATGGTATATCCTCACTATACCTGAGTGGAAGAAAGGAGTTGCTGTCTAAACCTCTTTTCTTCTAGCCTGCTTTCATAACTGTAATTGCTTCCTGTGGGAAGAATGCCACCAGACTTGTGTTATTTACATTCTTTCAGAAACTTAGACTGAATTTTAAACATTTTGGTGTCTACCATCCTGGCTTATTAATTCCCCCACCTACTGTTCCGTCTTGCCTGTTGTCTTAGTTTCCTCACCTTCGTAATTTTACAGAGGAAGCAAATGACAAGGCTAGTAAAAAAATAAGCAGGAGTAAGAGGATGTGGACTTGGAAATTATTGTATCTGTTTGTTTTTGTTTTGTTTTGTTTTGTTTTACATTACCTTCAAAGCAAAAGCAGATTTTGACTTACACTGAGAGTGTACCACATTGGAGATTTTCATTAGAGACAGTAGTCCTTAACTCCTGGGTGCATGTACCCTTGTCCATCCTCCTAGCTGTTTTTTGGATAGCACAAACCTGTGCTATCCAAAGCTTTGGGCATATGAAGTATGCTGTAGTGCTTATAAAAATGGCAGGTAACTATATCTAGGAAGTTCAACATGAGACAATGTGTATTTTGTTACAGTAGACTCCCAGTATAGTGCAAACCTGAGATTTATTTCTCTGAGCACATGTGGAGGTGGCTCTTGTGGCACTCCTGGTTGTATGCCAGCAGCCATTACAAAAGCCTGATTAACACAGGATTTTGCAGTATTATATGTGACAAAATAGTCTGACAAAGAAAATTTTCAAGCTGTCTCATTAAAAGTGGGATCTAGAATCACAAATGACTTCATGGGCTTCTGTTGAAAAATAAAAATTTTAAAAAAAAAAAAAGAGAGAAAAAAAAGAAAAAAAACCTCTCAGTTCTGAAGGGTGATGACAGCAAAAGCAAGTCATATTTCTGTCTGTCTTAGTCTTGCAGTTCATCCAGACAAAATTAGAATTGCAACAGGACAGTTAGCTGGAGTGGATAAAGATGGAAGGGTAAGTAATAGAGCTGTTGAGCAGTAGTGTCTTGTTTTGAAAATCAGGGAAAATTGTTTTATTTTTCTTTTTAATTTCATGATCACCTTCTGTTTGCAGTTTTTCTTATGCACTGCATTTAGTGAGATATTTTGCTACTTCCAAGCTTAACAGTATATATTTCTAGTGATAGGTATTACCATATAGACACTCAGCCATACATCAAAAAGAGTAGAGGCTCATAGTCTTCAATCTGTGACATGGAAAATTCATATTTAATCCTGCAAGCAACTGTGAGCCTTGTAATTGTTTTGTAAGGCTACATCACTTGTTACATCTCTTTCAATGTCTCTTCTCCCAGAGGAAAATAAACCCCAGTTCGGTGGCTCCATGTGCTCATAAGGCTTCATGGGAAGGGAAACCAACTTTGGGAATCTGTTGAAAGTGCATCAAGCTTTGCTAGAAAGCTTGCTCAGTTAAGGACAAGCATAGTTAAAAGTTCTTGTCCGCGGTGAGCTAAGTTGAATAATGAGATTATTTTCACAAAGGTTATAAAGAAAATAACACAGATGCCTTGAAACATAGAAACACATTAAGTACATCCCTTACTCAAATGTTTCAACATCTATTGTTGTAATTTCCACTGAACTTTTGCTTAACTATGAGTTTTTTTCTGTTTTGGTTTGTTTTTGTTTTTTTTTTTTTATGGTGAATGCTGTCCCTAAGCCAATTCCTACTTATTTTGTAATTGTTTTGGATTTATGAAGCTAACCTGTTTTGGGGGTAGTAATTAGATGAAATATACCTTTGGAGGTTTTCCTTGAGTGATTGGTTATAATTAGGTGACTCAGTACAACTAGGGTTGTGTTTTTTAATATTACTTTCTGCATTCTTTTATGTTTTAAAAAATATGTTATAAAAAATATGTTTTCAGTTGTGCAAGCTGTTTAAGTCTGGGGTTTGAAATTCAAGACGGCTCTTCCATTATTTGTTCAATGGTTTAAACTGCAGATTTATGTTCACAAGTACCAAATGCCCACATGATATCTGTAGCTCCCACACAGTGGGCAGAAGCTATCTCAATTCTTGTCTCTTGAGGTTCAAGACACAGTCCAACAGCAGCATTGACACAACTCATTTCACCCCAGTTTGCTGCTTGGATAGCATGTCATAACCTGATGGCTTCATTGGATGTTTTTGCTGTCAATGACACTGTTTGTCCCATTGCTTTTGCACAGCCCTTGCAGCCCCATGTTAGAGTGTGGGACTCAGTGAGCCTGGTGACACTGCAGGTTATCGGCCTGGGGACTTTCGAGCGTGGAGTTGGGTGCTTGGATTTTTCAAAAGCGGTAAGACAGATGCTGCTATTGGGGTATATAACTGATTTGTCTGACCCTTCTGAATGTGATTGCCTTGCTGACCTGCTTTGGTATTAAAAGTGTGTTAGTAAAGTCTCAGTGTACTCTATAAAAACAGCTGACGAGCGAGGTGAAAAACAGAAATTGCAGTTGTAGAGTTGTGGCAACAAACAAGCTCTGTGAATAAATAGAAGGCACAGAAATACCTTGGCTGGAAATTGAAACCTGCACTGGTCTTGGTGGTTGGGGTGGGACAAGACGGAGCTTTTATTTGTTTAGATGTTAAAAACAAGCATGTTACTGAGCTTCATGGACATGTTTTAGTGGGCTCTGATGGAAAGGGTAGCTTGGCTGCTTCCACTGCTGTAATAGGATTTTATCCATGAACAGGAAATTAAAAAAAAAAAAAAAAAAATCAATTTGTGCTTCGTAATTTTACATAGAATAAGATAAATCTTATGTGTTGTTACTGTGCCCACAAAATTTATCAGAATAGTAAGGAATGAAAATGTGTTGTGTTGTTTGTCACTGATAAAATTCTCATTTCCAATTTGCTGCTGAGGTTTTTTTTTTGTGTGTGTGTACAATGCATGTGTTTTCATCTTTAAGCTGCCTTCCCGTTTTTACCAAATCACTAGGAGGTATCAACCTCCTGAAAATCCTATTCTTGCAGCAGCAGAGAATTGTTTTTTAAAAAAAAAAAAAACAAACAAACAAACACACACACACACAAACAAAAACACAAAACAAAAAAAAAAAAAAAAAAAAGACCAAAATACAAAAAAACAACAAAAAAAAACCCCACCAACACGAAAAAACCCAAACCCAGTGGTATTTTGCTTACGCAGAATTACAGAACAGAGTAGGTGGTAAAAGACCTCTTGTGATTGCCTCATCCAGGGCAGGCTGTGTAGGACTGTGGAGGACCAGTTGAGTTTTGAGCATCTTCAGACACATGTTGAAAAATAAATGCTTATGCTCTCTTGCTGCTATTTCACCAAACATCAAAACATTGCTCAGTTAGTTACGTCTTTGTTATGAAACATAAAAAAAAAACCAGCCTATTTTATAAGTAAGGTATAACATAAAATTATGTAAGAAGAAAACTGTAATTTCTAATTCCTATCACTGTAACAAACCAGGAGCCTTTTAACTTTAAGGCAAATAAATGCATGTGCCACCATTCAATGAAAAGAAGAAAAATGAAAATAAAAATAAAAACCCAACAATCTAAGGAATTTGGAATGTTAGCTTTTATTAAACTGAAAAAGTGAATGTGAAGTACCTAGAGCTCCGCTTTTATCACATAATCCCCCTAACCCACACAAAAGCAGTTGCCAATGCTCTCTCAAGGGTTTTTTCCACTTAATTGGAATGTGTTTGCGTAGTACTGCTCATGATAGCATTAGTATTGGGGAATAAAAATTTCAGCCACCTCTGTTTTATAATTTGTTAGAGAACGTGGTCTGAACTGCACTAATCAACTTTAAAATAAACAAGGCATCCTCCAAATCTTTCTACACATGTGCTTGAAGCAGCTGGCTTGTGCAAGTATGAGCCGTTTCAGTTTTTATCTACAGTATTTAACACTGTAGATGTGACATTTTTCTGCTTCTGTAATCACCATTTTGTTTTGAAAGTGTTATCTTGCTTCATTCAGTTTTACCAACTACATAATGAAGCTGGTCAGTACTTAATGTCTGTGAGGAAAAAGATGAGGTGCTTTCTGAATGTTAATACTGCAAAGTTGTGTTTGTGATGGTCACCGTTAAGAAAGAAAACCACACTGGAACTGTGTGTTCTGAGACTTGAGGAAAAACAATGTATTTGCAGAATAGAAAAAGGGAGAAACATTTATGCTACTAGAATGATAATTAAATATATTTATTTAGAAAATTTAAAAAAAGAAGAACGGGGAGGGAAAGATTTGGCAAGATACTCTAAAGCTTTCCTAGAATGTATTTTGAAACATGATGATTTGTTGTGAGATTATGGAAAAATATTTCTTACCTGTAAGCAAAAAGGAGATACCAGATATACTATCATATAATTCCTTACAAAGGACTTGCTTGATTTATATTTCTACTCCTGTGGTTTTTAAATGTTACTGCTATGCCTTGTTTCTGAATATGGTTTGATAATTCTTTGCCATTTTCTTTTAGGATTCTGGTACTCATTTGTGTGTAATTGATGACTCTAATGAACATATGCTCACTGTATGGGATTGGCAGAAAAAATCAAAAGTAGCAGAAATAAAGGTAAATATAACACAGATGCCTATTCTAAAGTACAAATGCTTTTATTCTCAAAAATACAATAATTTTGTGAGACACAAATTTGATCTTAATTAGAATACTGCTGGGTTTTATAAGGGCACAAAAGAAATGTGTTCTTAACTTGTACATTGGAAGAGTTTTGAATATTGGAACACATAATTAAATTTTACTCTTATCCAAGGGCTAATCTAAATAAAGCACTCCTCCAGTCTTTTCTTAATTAAAAAGTAATAATAGTTCCTGGGAACTTTGAAGGACCTGAAGTGATGATTCAGTGTATAATTCTTTATATTAAAATATATGTATATTTTATTTTCATTTTTCTCTGAATTAGGTTGCAGACATAGATTTGTTGGGTAGATACACTTCTGTAGATTGCCATTTGTTCTGCTTTCCTGATTCCCTTGTGAGCTGCTGAATTTCTGGTTGATGAGAAGTTTTGGTGTAAAGCTGATTCCACTGGCAACACCCAATCCAATAACAACTTGCTGCTGAACTCCCTGTTTTAAGACATCTTGCTTGCAACAAGCAAACAGATAAATATAGATGTGGAACTGAGTTTTGGTTTGTTTTTTTAAAATTTATTTTAGTCATGAATCAGTGTGTGAAATACTCTATAAGCAAACATTTCTATGCGATTACAAACCTGCAAATTCTAAAATCAGGTCTTGGGGGCCCATTTTCCCTAAATCATGTGTACCTATAGTAACTATGCACTGTTCTGTAAGAGTTAATGTAATTAAACGTCAGCTTTTGTTTTTATTTTAATTCCTTGCTGATATTTAATATCAAGCTATTCGGCACATTCTGTAGATTTCCTTTCCCATTTTATTGATATTGCGTTCTGACTACTTTTACCTTTACCCTTCAGTCCTTAGTGCTTCAGAGCTGGCTAGCAAAAAAAATCAGCCGTGACAGCTTCAGTTATTCATGTTTAGGACTTTATCTTAGAATATCTTGAGCACCTCACCAACAGCTGGGTTCAGTGTGAGCAGAGAGTTTCCTCCCTTGAGCTAAATGCATTCATAAACAACAAATTAAGTTTAAGAAGATTGTTCTCCTCAGGTGAGCCAAAAATATTGGAGTGGGATGAGGCCAAGCTGCAGTTCTTGCCTGGGTGCTGATTCAGCAACACTTAAGTATACTCTTTTAAGGCATGTACTTAAATACCGTAGAAGTAAAAGGGCATAAATGAATTTATGTAAGTGTTATGCAGAATGATTGCCTCCAGAAAATTACCTCAAATTAAGGTTTGTAGAGTTTACTTTATAAGTCAGAAAAATGACTAGTCAGTTTGTTTGTAAAATTCATTGATAGGGATATAATATTCGCTGAGGTGTTAATTATTCAGTAGAAGTATATGCGACCAGTAAAACTACAAAGGATGTACAGTATGTTTGAGAGAATAATGTACATAATCCTGGTATGCTACGGTTGCCTGAGTTATTTCTATCACAGTTTTGTTACTCAGAAAAGTCTGTGCAGAAACTAAACAGTGTTCAATACAAAAACGTGTTTTTGTATTTCACTCAGTTCCCATGGCAAAATTCTTAGCTATGCTAAAAAGCAAAGTTCTTGTGATCTGGAAAGTGAATATAAAGCACAGACTTTTTTACTGAGGTTAGCTAAAACTGAGATAAGCTAAAAAGCAAGTATGAATAGATGATACGAAAAGGATTTGTGCAGTCATTCAGCCAACCAGTTTAGGAGGGAATTTACAGATTCTTTCATATACAGAACAACCTGTGTAGCTCCTCCTATCTTTGTTCTGAAACCTGGGATTTTACATGAGTTTCTAGTAAAAGTAGAATAGAACATCTGAATAAATATTATTTGGTTTATTTCAGACTACAAATGAAGTTGTGCTCGCTGTAGAATTCCATCCAACTGATGCAAATACCATAATAACGTGTGGCAAATCTCATATATTTTTTTGGACTTGGAGTGGCAATTCGTTATCAAGGAAGCAAGGGATATTTGGGGTAAGAATGTCTTGATATCAGGTCAGTTTAAAATCAATCAAATCGTCTGCTCATGCTTTCTTCAAATTTGTTTTGTTGTCACCTCATATAGATTGAGCAGAGTGGTAAACAAACAACAAAAAGGTTAAATTCTATTTATGTATATTCAGGATTGTATGGGTGTGGATACATTATTCTAAGTATGTAGAGTACAAGCAATTATCCCTTTCTCTTGCTTATTTTGTTTCAGAAATATGAAAAGCCCAAATTTGTTCAGTGTTTGGCTTTTTTGGGAAATGGTGATGTGCTCACTGGAGACTCAGGTGGGATAATACTTATATGGGGCAAAACTACTGTAGAATCTACTCCAGGAAAAGGACCTAAAGGTAGGATGCGTTCACAGTTAATCACAGATTAGACAGTCTGTAGAAGACAAATATAAAGAATTGCATTAGAAACAAAATAGGAAGAAAAACCTGGCTATTAGTAACAAGTGATGCTGAACTCCACATCTCATGAATTTGATGACTTAATAACAATCTGGAGTTTCTCTTTGCCCAAAGTGAAAGAAAACTAAACTTTATCTAAATGTTTTCCATTTTACAACTGTGCAGTTAATCATATTTCCTTTCATCCTGTGGTCTGAATGAGGCCATGGATTTGGTTTGAGGATTCTGCAGGCTGCATTTGTTTCCCAAGACTTATGTTATATCATACTTAGTCCAGGGGATACTGTTAAGAGGACTTGCGTATGAAGGGAAAATGTAATCCAGCAGTTATGCAAATAGGAGTGTCTGATTAAGACAGCACTTAAGTCTTGGCTGTAAAGGATAGTTTTAAACCCATTTTATTTGAAACATGGGTTAAAGTTACTCTTTAAGACAAAAGTTTTGTAGAAAAGAAAGAAAAAGTATTTATTATCCAACATGTGCAGACCTGGAACAGTTGAGCTCTAAGGTAACTTATAAATTCAAGGATAATTCATTTTACTTGGCAGCTATTTCAAACACTCTGATTTAAATTGGTATGCCAGGAAAACATTCATGTAAAAAGCAAATATTTAAAGGTAAGTCTGCTTCTGTAGGTAGACCTTTTCTTGTCTTTCAAGCAAACTGCAATGAAAAAGTAATGTAACAAGTTATCTGATGTTTAATTTTGAGGTTCATTTTGTGCAAAATAACATTTTCCGTATATAATCCGAAAAGTTATCAAATACAACATTTATTTACATCAATTTAATCGAGTATGAGATATTTTAGTTAGCTCATCACATTAAATTGGTAATCAGACTTGATCTCAAATGCTTTTTCACAGCATAAGAGCATGCTGACTTGAACAGACTTCAGCTGTAGCCAGAGTCAGATAATTATGTTGGCATTTATGTGGGTGATGTTTCAGGATTTCTGTGTTTACTACTTGCATATGTGCAAATCTTCAAAGCCCCAAAATCTTCCCTTGTTAAGATATACTTTCCTACAGCAGTTCTTTTCAAATAAACACCCAATTAGAATGCAAGAGATTTCCTTTAATGCTGTTTTTCATTTAATTTTTCCATTCCTCTTGTTCTTTCTAGTGTTTTACTCTGAGTAGACTACTATATTGATAGTTGCCAAATGCTAGTTTACTATTTTTAAGTAAGGCAACATCAAGCATCAGATATTAGGATCACACATCCTGGAAACTTTGCTATAAATAATTTGCTTTTTTTTCCTCGTTTTCATTCCCACAAGACTGTAGACAAGTCTTTGAGTTTCTTTTAATAAAATAATTCTTTGTTAATAATTGCACTGCAAATATTTTTCAATACTTTGGGAGTTTTTCTTGCATCAGGAAAAACTGCGTTCCCTAGGATAGCGGGGAATTTAGAGTATTTAGCAAATAATTATGCTTGTCTTCACAAGTTTTAGAGCAATTACAAAACATTTCTCTTCAGAAAGACACGCCTTTTATTTCATCTTCTTATCCTGTAAGAAAACACTACCACCTTGTGTTTGCAGTACGATGCAGTGCTAATAGCCTGACAATCCAAATGCAATTATTGATTGCGCAGTGTTGCTTTACTCTTAAGCCAAAATGCAGTTTCTTGTAATCCTCAGTTGACAAAACGAGTGGTGTTGTGTATTATTTTCTTTTTGTGCATGTAGGAGTATATCAGATAAGCAGACAAATCAAAGCTCATGATGGCAGTGTATTTACCCTCTGTCAAATGAGGAATGGGATGCTGCTAACAGGAGGTGGGAAAGACCGAAAGATCATTCTGTGGGATCATGACTTGAATCCCGAAAGGGAAATTGAGGTAAGAAGGCAAGAGTGACAAGGAAGTTGTATTAACAAGATATGATCAGCAATCCTGAGCATTCCCCTATTCCTTAGAGTATCCGTGGTTAGGATGACAGCATACCTTCTAGTTGCTATCTTTTTAAGTGGAAGATTATGTTTTGTAATAAAAAGCATATCAATTTTCAGCCTAGAAATTAGCCCACGAGAGCTATATCTTCAGCTCTTCCGTTGTTTCTTTTGTTCATCCTATTTTTGAGTATTTGCTTTAGTATTGCCTGTGTTTTTCTAAAGTTTGCCTGTCTGGATAAAGGCAGTGTTATCAGGATTTGAGTTCTTTGTTGAGCTTTTTACGTTAGAAGAATAATGAGTAGGATAAGTATGGATACTCTGCAGAAATTAGTTGTGTTGAGGAACTTCTCTTGACTTCATCTAAAAAACAGATATTTATTGAAAATGTCTGCCTGTGATTCGTCTGTATGGCAGTGATAAGGATAAACTGGAAAAAAATGTACATCACAGATTCAAAAATAGTGGGTTTTTTTCCTTACAATAGATGACCTCTTGAAGTAGTTTATTCTCAGTTTTTCTAACAGTGATTTACTCAACATAACTAGTGTCTATTTATAGCAAGATTCTGATGGAACTACACATGAATGTTAAGGAAAAGAGTTTGTTACTGTCCCAAGTCCACTATTGACCGTTAGAAAACATGTCTGAGTGTAATTGTTGAGTTATCCTGTACAACCCTTAGACTTAAACAAAGCACTATTCATATCAATCTTTGTTTTCTTTTTGTTAATATATTAAGTTAAAGCTTTTTTTTTTTTTTTTTTTTTTTGGACAAATATAACCAGAACCCTATCACACAGCTTTCTGAACAATTGTAATTATTTTTTATCCTATGAGGCTAGTATTAAAGTAAGCATGTTTTCTAAAGCAAACCCATTTAGGAAGAAAAAAAACACACAAAAAACAACCCACAAATGCCCACTGTAAAATAAAGCACTGAGAGTTCAAGGTTGCAATAAACAAGCTCAATAAAACATGGAGTCATTGCTGACGTATGGCATATGAATGTTTACGTAAGGTTAATCAGGAAACGTTAAGAATCAGGAAACATTTACTGTGGGCTACAAGATTCTTCTTAATTTTCAAAATGTGTTTTTGAAAAGAAGACAGTGACTATAAATATTGTTCCCATCCTTATGAGTTGTAAGAATGTAGAGTGCATTTATTTGGTGTATCTGATGCTTAAAAATCAGTGCAACTTCAGGTTTGTTTTTTTTTTTTCTACTGAGACCTATTAAATTGGAATAATTCCAGTTATTTTGGAGTGAGGTCCTGTTGTATCTAATGAACAGATAAATGAGGTAAGTTTGAGGTCAAGTCCTTGCCTCGTGCATATGTGATTAGATTTTTCCTTCTTACTAGGAGAATTGCTTTTCCGGTACCATTGTGCATTATTTATGGCCTTCAGAAGTAAGTGTGCACTAAGATATGTGATGTGGCTTTACAAATGTTTCTCTTCCTAGGTTCCTGATCAGTATGGAACAATAAGAGCAGTAGCAGAAGGAAAAGCAGATCAATTTTTAGTGGGTACTTCACGAAACTTTGTTTTACGTGGAACATTTAATGATGGTTTCCTAGTAGAAGTACAGGTGAGCAAAATGATTTCTTGAATTATTTCCCTACAATTGTAAAAGTTTCCCTGATTGTATGTTGATCTGAGACTTTTTATTGTATACTTTATCAAATCAAATGTGTTCTTTCTAGGGACATACAGATGAACTCTGGGGACTGGCATCACATCCTTTCAAAGACTTATTTTTAACTTGTGCTCAAGATAGGCAAGTTTGTATGTGGAACTCTGTGGACCACACACTGGAATGGACCAGGCTGCTAGATGTATGTCAACCCTTCAACATTAAATATAAAGCTGGAAAAAAAACAAAAGGCATTCATTTTCTGAAACATCTTGTCCCATGTGATTGAAAGAAGCAAAAATCTTGTAACTGAGGCACTGAAGAGCCATTCAGAAGCTTTTGATAAGCTTGACAAGGTTCTTCAGATGTTGTATACAATGCTGTAATCTGTTGTATACAATGCTGTAATCTGGTTAGTGTTGTCCAAAGCCATTCTAGTGATTTCATTCCAGATCAGAATGAAACTCCAAGTGCTTTCTGCTTGTTGCAGTTCAATTGGGAAGTTTTCTTCCCAATTATTCAAACCATCTACAAAGACTACAGTGCAGATGTAAAAGGTTTGGCTTTAGAAGTTCATCCTTACAGTCATTGTTCAGATCATATTTTGATTAATTCTGTCCTACTATCTAGGTGAAAGCATCTTTTTATTAAGAAGTTTAGCTTTTTACTTGTGAGAAGGTCATGTAGTATATCAATGATCCATTAAAAGAAAGTCTGTCTGTCAAGTAGTTTTTCACTCTGTCAGATCATCTTTGATTTTTAAGGCTTTTTTGGAGTACAGAGCAGGTGGGCAAATGACATGTCTGTGCCTCCCTACTTAGGAACCGGGCCACTGTGCCGACTTCCATCCCAGCGGAGCGGTGGTTGCAATAGGAACGCATTCAGGACGGTAAGCAGGCATTGGCTGAGTTGTGATGATCAGAAGTTTAAAGGAGATTTACAAGAGTTGTAGTATCAAACCATCAGAATACATGTATTTTTTGATTTTTATTCTTCTGCATGGATTTAACTACTCTAAAAAGATGGGAGATGAGGCAGATCTTTTGTAAAGGATGCAGGTGAGAAAGAAGGATTATTTGAATGTTAGGCAGTTGTTTCTTCTTTTGTATTTTTTGAACTACTTTTCCATGAAAGACCCACCTCTTGTTTGGTTTTATTGTTTTGGTTGGGGTTTTTTGTGGGTTTTTTTTTGGTGCTGGGAGGGTTTTATGAGATTTCTGACTTCATGAAACACCATATATATTTTAATTGTATATGTAACATCAGTTGGTAAGTACAGATCGTTTCTCCTTTCCAAATCAAGCACGTTTGCAACCTCTTAGATTGACCTGGAGTGTCAAATGCCTATATTCTGATTTTTTTTTGTGTGTAAGGCAAATGTTAGCATTGCACATTTCTGCAGTGAAGTGCTGTTGAGCTGTTCGTATTCATCCCCAAACCGTTGCTTATTTCAAAACTGTCAAAACACAAGCCAGGACCTTTAACTCAGGCATCTTTTTGTGGTGGAAAAAAATTGTCTCAATTCATATCCAAATTCTCTTTGGCTCAGTATCATCTCCCTTGAAAGGAGTCCAATGTGGTGGAGTTCTAGCAAGTATCAACCAAGAGAAAAAAACAGGATATTCATAGCATTAGAAAGGTTAGAGGAGCAGCTAGGAAATCTACTGACATTTTTGTTCTATTTCTTACTCATATGTTAGTAAAGCAACACATGTAAGAAAATTATTTTTTGTTTAATCTGCCTCCTGTAATTTTTTTTATACCTAACAACATGCCTAAAAGCCATTCAAAATTTGGTTTGAAAAACTGCTGAGCATATGCAACAACCTTTAACTTTCCTGGGAAAATCTGCATGTTAAATATTTTTCAATGTGGTCCTTCTGCAAGTTGATGATACAATCTGCAGTAAATGCATTAGGTACAAAATCAGACTAGGAAATCTAGTGTACCTTCCTAAGAAAAATCTTATTTAGTTCTTGTACGTTTGATTTCCATGCTGTGCCTTTCAATGTTTTCATCTCTTTCTAATTATAGCATTAAACTGATTAAGTGTTTCAACTTTCATTAAACAGAGCAGAAGGTATTGGAATAATGAAACTTAAGATAAGGAAAAAGAAAATCAAGCCGCATTGCTTGGTAGCTACCAGGCATTTTAGAAATTACATCAAAGCCCAGTCAAGGCAGATTGAGCAGTCAGAGCATTCAGTCTGGTGTTTTTGCTCTTGGCTGCTTTTATTGTGGTTTTTTTTTTTTTTTTTTTTTTTTTCCCTGCAGCATTTAACATCACCTTTTCAATTCAGTGCTTTTCAGTTTAAATTCGTGTTATTTAAATTACTGGAGACAACCCACTTATACTGTATTGGTTAAGTTTATGTAGATGGCTTTGGTTTTTTGGGGGGGAGTTTTTTGATTGGTTGGGTGTTAGTGTTTTCATTTTTGTTATTTTTTACTAAGTTCCATCAACTAAGTAAACAACTTTTTTTACTAAGTTCTTACAATTAAGCAGTTACATTTTTGCTTTTCTATTTCTTTTGTTCTGAAATTACATGATTAGGGATAGGTTAGAAACACAAATTAAACTGAAATGAAGTGGGGGCCTGGTAAGTGTACAAGTGGATGAGAAATAGAGGGAGTTGTGAATCAAGATAAACAAAACAGCTTAAGATTTACAGACTAACCGTGGCATCACACGGTGCTTTCTGTGCCAGATAATGCAGTCTAGGGGAGTCATTTCCCAGAGGAATGGGGTTGCATGATAAATTTTGATTTGTAAAAGAGGAGAGTCAGGCCTATAACTAGTCATTTAATAACTTACTCAATTTGCAACCCAAAAGGCATAAAGCAAATGTTAAATGAGTCTAATTTGTTTACGATTCAATAAACCCAAACTTTGGTGTATTATTGCAGCTCTAGTTCTGCTTTGTTTCTAGTACAGAGGTCAGTGAGGCAAGGATTAGGAATGGAGCACTGACAAGGTTGAGTTTTATGGCTGAACTTGTGATATCTGAAGAAAACTGAATTTTCTGTCTCTTCCCATTCTTGTCTGTAGTTTCACGACATTGTTATCAGATGAACACATCATGTTTCTGGAGTAGCTTTCACATACCACTTCTCATGATGAGTATTTCAGTATCATTTTCCCTGTTGGGACTATCTGCAAATGATCTGCTGCAGGTTTTGTTCCCTTCTTTAAATACCTGCTGAATGTTTGGTCTTCAGTTGTCAGTGACTAAGCCTGGTTTGGAGAGAACTAATATCATTTTGTTGTTGCCGCTGTTTGCTGGAAGTGCAGAGCTGAAGAAGCCAAAAGGTCTGGCAATGGAAAATCTTTCCAGAAAAGTGAGTTTTTTCCAAAGCACCATACAGATAATTTTGCCATGCTGTCAGTGGTACCATTTTCAGGAAAGCAGACCTTCCTGTGACTAATAATGTAGAATATTTTGAGGGCTATTGATACAACTACTCAAAAGCACTACAGAAGAAATAGACTAGCAAGATTAATGTAAAAATTACTAATATTATTAAGAAAACTGAAGGCTGGAGGTCAAGGCCGGAACAAGCCAGAGCTCCAAAGAGGTAGATCAGTCCAACACAGACCAGTTCAGCATTTGTTGTGGAATGAAGCCTAGATGTCCCTGTGAACATAGTCATGAGATTGGTTTGTTGATTTTTACGGTCAACACGCTGAACACTTTTCAGGTTTAACATTCATTTTTATTTTTGTGGCAATTTCAAGCACTGGTGCAAAAATATAACTTTGGAATACTGCTTCCTTGGTGATTTTATCAGAAAAATTGTGTGTTCACAGATGAAAATTGCCACTGGTAAATGTTAGTGAGTCATTAAAAGTCACTTCCCAAAAGAGTTGTCTATAGGGATTTTGTTTCTAAATAAATAATCTATTTTTCAGATAGGTTGTCTATTAAAATAAGGCAAACAAAGGAATAGGGTGACAAAAAACAGATGAAAATAATGATAACTCAGTCTTGTTTATGTTAATTCACAAGTCAAGCATGTTGCTTGCAATAACAATGGAACAAAAATGGATACAAATCAGAAGGAGAACTACTATCTTGCAGCATTACTTCATCTGATCTGTGTATCTAAAGTCAGGAGAGTTCACTTAGCAACTGGATGCAGCATTTCCAGGGTCTGCTACCATTTGCATGTTGTATACCTCTGTGTTGGGAGGAAGATCTTCTCTCAAAATGCAGTCTGAAGGTGGACCGAGCTGTGGATGATATGTGGCATGTATGAGGCATGCCAATAAAATATTGTAGCTGCTAAACTACTTTTCATGGAAACATGTTTTCTTGCTGGCTTATTACTAGGCTTGCCACGGCTTTGGGAGAGCTTGGGTGATTGAAGGGAACACGTTTGATTCCAGATTGCAGAGGTAGAAAGAAACAGCTGAATTAGATGTGACCGGCACTTACTTTCCTACATTAACATCAGAATGTCATGGTGCTGTTTCCATGGCTGACTGTTTCCATGGTCTGCTATTAACATCTTTTGTTCAGGAAAAACTTTAGAGAAAGACTAGTGTCTCAAAATGCTATATTTTAATGTGCAGTGAAACTCAGTGTGCACTCTTAAGACCTGCAGAAGTTTTGTCTTGTGTTTCATACTACCCAATACAACTTCTGTGCTTTCTGTACATTGCATGTTTTTCCAACCTTTGAAAATATTTCATGTTCCAGAAGAAACATTGACAGGAAGGTTATCAACTTCAGGTCGGAACCTCAGAGGAGCTCCCTAAAGAGCCAGCCTCAGTGTCAGAATGAGCCATGTCCCTAATGCAGGAGCACTACTGTCTTCATTGGATATTTTGGGATGCAGCTGGCCAGCAGAAGCACTGCACAGCATGGCATGGGAAGGGGCACCCAGCTGTTGTATGAAAGAATGAAGCTTTTGCTTATTGTTGGGTTCATAATTAGTTTTTAATACCAGACACCATGACTGCTGCTCGGAAGAAATAAATAGGCATCATTTTCTGCCAGGTAGACAGATTTTTACCATATAGCACCAAAGTTTTCTGGTAGAGGAAGAGGTCTTCCTGCCTCTTGTTTTCCTGCCCATACACAAAAGATGTAGAGCAGTAAGGAGCCTGGACACTGTGCTGAGTGCAGGGAAAAAAAAAAGCCAGAATGGGGCAATGGTGCAGTGGCTTCAGACCAGCTTCTGGTGTTGCTTGAAAAACAGATGCTGGCAAGCCAGTGATGTCGCCATGTGTGTTTTCATCTGTTCTGTGATCCTGTGTAATTGTAAAGTAGTTTTGCTATTGCAGCAAAATTTTTGTTATAATTTTTTAATCAAAGTAATCTACATGGTATAAGTACACTCTCCTGTTCTCTTTTTCCCCATACCAAATTTGTTTATTTGTTTTTATTGTTTATTATATTTGTTTTTCATTATCTGTACCCTATCTCAGTTATCAGTCAGGTATAAAAAAATAACATTTTATTGAAATATTTGACAAGGACAAAAGGGCAGTGTTTGAACTGAATAGCAACTTGATACTTCTGTTGCCTTTAGATAACTTGGAAAGCTTCAGTATATAGACTGGAAGAAATCAAGAGACTGCATTTTGGCTTGCAGTACTGAGAAGCACTGAGTGTGGTTTCTGCTGCTGTCCATTGAGAACATATGAGCTGTTTTCTGCTGGTTCCATCTGCCTTGCACACAGACTCCTCAGCAGTCTGTGCCATGTGGGGCTTTTTTTCATGTACATGTTGTTCAATTTCTTTCTGTCACGTGGTTCTCTAACCACAAGCTGTTTTTAAACCATCAGAACCAGGCAGCTTTCCAGATGCCAAGCAGCTGGACTCTGGATCAGCATGAGCTGGAACCTCACCTCCATCCATAGAAAGCAGCCATGTGTGCATCTGTTAGTCAGGGCTTATTTTAGGCTGTATATGTTGGTTTTCAAGTAGACAGTCCTAGTTTTTGCAGTATGCTTGTTCCCTTGAGTTTGCTGTCATACCCACACTCTGAGCTTGCTGTTTGATGCTGGTTACATAAACTTAGCCATCGTGTGAACAGTGCTGAGATTTTCTAAACACAGAAATTATATTGTGTTAACATCTTTTATCTATTTAACAATGTTGTCATCTTCTGTTTTCATTACATGCATGTGTGCATGTGTATATATTCAACTTTTGTTCTCTTTCTCTAGCAAATATTTGCTGCTGTTATTAGGAGCTAGATAATGTCGTGAAAGGCTCTGGTTCTGCTGATCTTATTCATATTGCTGTCAGTGGTTTTTGGGCATCTATGAACTTTTTCGATGTTCCGTACAACTAATACTGCAGTATAGAAGTTACTGTTAAATAACAAACAATACCAATAAGAATAGGTGTCATGTACGGGATGAAAGTGGAAGTGTTTTCCAGTCTCTCCTCATTCTACTATGTTTGTTGTTGTTTTTCACCTTTGCTTCAAACAAATTGAAGGGTCAGATTTTATATCCAAGCCATTCTTCAAAATGGAGTATTAGTGGTAGATTCAAAATTCAGCTGTTGCTTCAAGGTGTTAAGGTGCCAACACATTTTCTATACGATGGCATGCTTATTGGCCAGGAGACAATTTGGTGATTACTGAAATGTTTAAGAGAGGGAAAAAGAAATTCAGCTGCATTTAAAATGTTATATATTTTTCACTGAAAATTGTTCTGTGAACCAGAAAAGCATTCTATTAAAAACAGATGTTTGTTGTGCTGCCCTTGAGGGCTAGCATGACAAGATGAAGCAAGGCAATGTTATTGTTCTTTTGCTTGCTGCTTTTTTTGTTGTTGTTCTTTTTTTTGTTTTAGTGGACATGATACTCACTGGATTCCTTCTCTCTCTAGGTGGTTTGTTCTGGATGCAGAAACAAGGGATCTGGTCTCAATACACACTGATGGCAATGAGCAGCTCTCAGTGATGCGCTATTCAGTAGGTAGGGAGACTTGTGCATTCAGAATAATTGTGTGATTAGTTTCTGATAAATGGGATGTTTGTTCCCTTAAGCTGTGTTCAACTACTCTCCAGTCACTGAAAAAGACAGAGCTTTGAAAAAAAAAACCTGCATTAGGATGCTTAATACCTGAATAATAATCACAGTAATACATGACTAATAGTATCTGTATATTTGATTTTGTATTTGTTTTTTGTATACTAAATCTCAGAGCTTTGCACCTGCAGACATTGCAGTCTCCTAGCCTTTCTTTCACGTTCATCCGTTCTGTCAGCTTTGTTCCCAGAGAAATTAAGAATTTTCATTTAAAATTGTTGGCATGTTAACAGAAGAGAAAAAGCTACATATCAGCATTCCACTATTCCGCAGTCTACTCAGGCTGTAAATAGCTTGGGATTTAAATAATATTTTAGTAACTTTCTTAGTTCATTTTTCAAGTTTAGTAATACAAAGCCATAAAACTACGTTTAGGTCTGTCTGAAACTCAAAGCTGTTTGTTAAATATGTACTACGTGATTACACGTACTCCGAAACAGTACTCTTCCCTTGGAGGTGGCATGACAGATCAGCAGAGGAATTCTCTGTTAAAACTGAGTAGAAGAAGAATCTCATAAATCTGCTTCTTGTTTGCTTTTGGATAATATGCAGTGTCAGTGAGTAAAATGCTCCTTTGCTGCTGCCACTTCTGCCAAGCACAGTAATTTATTTCAAATCACTGCTGTTCATCGACACTACAGAGGTATTTAATTGCGACTCAAAGCAATCTTGACCACATTAACCATTTTTTTTTTTTCAAATGGAGATAACACTGGTTAAAAAACTACTTACACTGACTGAATGATCCGCTTGCTATTTAGATCTTATTTAGTGCTGATTTATGTGCAATCTGCTCCCCCCTCCCACAGGAAAAAAAAAAATCCTATAAATTTGGAATAAATACTGTTCTGCATTTTTAGTAATACAGAAAACTGACCTGCTGTCAACAATTTCCATAAATGTAGTGCAGTCTGAGGATTTGTACTTATTTGTACTTTATCCATTGGACTTTAATTTAAAAGAGCAGAGGTGAAAGACTTTGCCCAAAAAACATACTCTCAAAATAAAAGCGTACTGATTGAAAACCAATATAAAGAAAACAGTTATGTAACCTTAAATATCAAGGAATAGCTTAATTGAGACAATTGTCTTAGTGATAAATCTGAAATCATTAAAATTTGAGAAACAAAAGTTCTGTTAGTTTCTATTAAATATTTTAATTTTCTGTTGTAGATGGCACCTTACTTGCAGTTGGGTCCCATGACAACTTTATTTACCTCTACATAGTAACAGAAAATGGAAGAAAGTATAGCAGACATGGAAAATGCACTGTAAGTTTTGGGGCAAATATAATCAGTTCTTTTTGTATTTCGATGTGATAGTAGTTGTTAAGCAGTGGAACAGAAAGAGAATCTCTAGATTGATGTTTTTCTACTTTTAATTTTGATTATCATTTTTATGTCTTTTTTAGCACTTAGTTAATTTTAAACTTCATTTAATATGTACTGCAACTGTTAGTTTTCAGGTGAACACCTTTGCATCAAATATGAACAGTTTTTCAGCTATTAACTGTTCTTTGAAATAGGAAAGTAACAGTAAGATGCAGAAATGTCTTTTGTTTAGATGCTGAAAGTCTTTCTGGGAAAACACTGCACTTTGGAGTTATTTTTTCAAAGAATCATACAATGACTTGGGTTGGAAGGGACTTTAAAGACCATTTAGTTCCAACCCATGTGCCCCGGGTAGAGACACTTCCCACTAGATCAGATTGCTCAAAGCCCCCTGCAATGTGACCTTTGTGGGGTCAGAGATGGGACATCACAGCTTCTCTGGGTAATCTGTTCCAGTGCCTCACTACCCTGTGAGTAAACATTTCTTTCTAATATCTAATCTAAACCTTCCCTCTTTTAGTTTGCTGCCATTACCCATTGTAATCCTACCCTCTTTTAGTTTATGGCCATTACTCTTTGTCCTGTAACTGCACTCTCTGGTAAAAAGTCCCCCCTTAGCTTTCCTTTAGGCCCACTTTAGGTACTGGAAGGTCTCTCTAGAGTCTTCTCTTCTCCAGGCTGAACAACCCCAGCTCTGGCAATGTGCATTGTGTTGATTCAACAGGGCCAAGTGCAAGGTCTCACACCTAGATTGGGGCAATCCCAAGCACCAGTATAGGCTGGACAGAGAATGTGTTGAGGGCAGCCCTGAGGAGAAGGACTTGGGAGTGTCAGTTGATGAAAAACTCAGTATGAACAGGGCATTTTCAGCCCAGAAAGCCAGCCATGCTCTGGGCTGTATCAAAAGCTGTATGCCCAGCAAGTCAGGGAGGTGTTTGTACCCCCTCTGTTCTGCCTTTGTGAGACCTTGCCTGTAGTACTACATCCTGTGTCTGGGGCCCCCAGTACAAGGATGTGGGGCTGTTGGAGCGGGACCAAAGCAGGGCCACAAAGACGAGCTGATCGCATGGCCCACCTCTCGAGCCTTGGTCCCTCCAGTGTGTCAAGCACACCACACTGCTTGAAGTCATGATTCTTGCATATTCCTACTGATAAAGTACTTCTTGGACCAATGTAGCATTAGATGATGCAATTTCATTAGGATATATAATTTTGGAGACTGCATATAAGCACTATTTTCAGCTGAATTTTTTAACATTTGGAATAATACCAATAAATTTCTGGCCCAGGATAAATAAATGCAAATGTTGTGCAAGTAAAGAAGTTTATTTTAGTTCTTGTGTTTACGTGATGTCCCAGTGCTAAAAAGATTTGTTTCAAAAAAGACATTTTTCCTTTTCTTTTTAAGATGTCTAACACCATGGTTTTAGTTCAGCCCTCTCTCTAGGTTATTGGGAATATTTACATAATGAGCATCTGATCCTCAGCGGAACTTGTAAATGATATCATAAAACTAGGTTCACATATCAAATGTGGCTTTTGTTTTTTAAAGAATGCATCCCCTGCTCAAAACACTTCTCATGTGTTTATAATCAGCTGGATTTCTCTAGTTTTAAAAATATAGGACCTTCTCAAGCTGTTTTCTTAATTTGAAAGTGGGGGTGAGAGGACCATAAGCCTAAACTATGCTTTGTAATATGTTATGCTGGTGATCTTTGATACAACATTCACAGTGGAACCTATTGCGGGTGGGAAACGGCTGATTGTTGGCGAGTCCTTTAGTACCACATGTGGTATCTTTTAGAGATTTCCAGTTTCCAGGCCATTCTTCTGAGGACAACTCACACCACCCAGTCCACACTGTTTGAGGACTGGGCATGCTGGGGACTCCTTGGGAGTGATGTGGGGTGAGCCAGGGTAGTGACAGCCAGCTCTACCCCAACACAGCATTTCAGTTCATCACCTATTTTTTAGGTACAAAAGATAAAATCACTCAAGGACCTCTAATCTTAAAATACATACTTAGCTTGCATAATGTCCATCAAGTTGTCCAAGTTCTTTGAAGAAATATGAAATCATTTATTTCTTTATATCTTATGTGTTGCTTTCCAGAGAGCATACTGTAATTTAAACCAGTATCAACTGGTGTTTAGGCTCCTTCTCCTTCTGTTGTAGGAGAATATTTCAGAGAGCAATTAGTTTGCTGATAATGCCGCTTTATTTCAGCAACAAATGTGTTAGTAAGTGGCCTCATAATTCAAAATCAGCTGGGAATATTGACCAACTACCAGTTTTCAGTGACTGAGGATGATGAAGCTGTGCCAAAGTAACACCCCACTGGAAAGTGTTTCTCTCCTTCCCTATCCTTTTCGTCCTCATGCACCCCAAGACTTTTTCAGATATGCACCTTCTTTTCATACATCTGTGTGCCTTGGCTGAGGGCACATAATGTGGGCTGTAAAAATTGAGGTGGGAAAAACAAGCATTGTTATACTTAGGCATGATCAAGAATTCATGTTTCAGTGCTGATTTCTGTTAACTGTTCTTTTTCAGTCTGAGCAACTGCACATAGAGGCCAAAATTAGCAGCCTGCTTTCTGTTGGGGCTGAGCTGCTCTGACCCTTCCAGCCCAAGCAGATAGCAGCAGCCTGCAAGCTGACCAACTGTATTGTAGGGATACCGGTTGGGTTTCATCTACCCCTGTGCCAGAGGGCCAAAACCAGATTGTTGTGAAGCAGGGTGGCGCCCAGGAGTGCTTGGGACCTGGGGCAGTCCTGGCAAGGGCTTGGGTGCTGGCACTGCATCCTTCTGGCATTCCTCCGTCATCCAGTAGCCTCACCGAGTGACCTCCAAGTAGTATGACTCAGTCCTCCTGCTAGGCAATTTCTGGTTGTTTCTTCCAACTTGAAAACATAGTTTGAATACTTTCAGAAGGATTTTATCTACTGAACCAGCATCAGTTTGTGTATAAGGGCTATATTCCCAGTGTTATGTTTAAATCCCCTTTCAGTCACAGAGAGGCTTTCTGGGGCTCCTGCAGAGGCATGGCTGTGGCCTGTAGTGTGCCTCCGCAGTGAGCAGTGGCCATGGCTGTGATCAGAAGGAATTCCAGATTAGCTGAAATGACCGCTTTGGCTTGTGCAGCTGTTTTTCAAGGGCTCCAGCTATGCAGACAGCAATGTGGAGGTATGGGCTAAGTTATGAATTTCCTATGTCTCAGCAGCTCAAGGCTAGCCACAGCCGTTTCTGTTTGCCTTACAGCAGAGCTATCTGTTAGCAAAGGAGGAGAAAGTACTCTGCATTTACCAAGAGGGCTGTGAGCTGGAAGCTGTGCGAGCAGCCATGTGTCTGATGCACTAATCTTAGCCTGAATAAATGCCCATCCTGTAGGCTGTGGGCATTTTGACTCTTAAAGCCCTGAAGTCTGAAACAGACAAACATTTCCAATGAAGGATTGGTTTTCCATGTGGTCAAATTACTTTGCTAGCCAGAGATAATGTGAGTGATTACGGTCATCATATGTAAAGGTACAGAAGAGAGTAAAGCATTACTTTATTGGTAGCAGCTACTGAAGAAGGTTTTTAATAAAAATTTGGATTATTCTTCTTAAAAAATAGTTATCAGGCAGGGATCGCTTGCTCGAAGGGATTTTCCAGCATGGAGCCCCCTGGCCAATTGCATTGTTCTCTTCCCACCACCCCTAGGAATTTTAACAGCTGCCAAATGTCTGGCAGGATTTAGTAAATGACTGACCAATTCTTTTCCATCTTGGAGTTAGCTTGCAAATTTGAAGGCTTGGAAAATAAGAAGGGGGGAAAGGAATCCTAGCCAGTACTGCATTCATTTTTTTTGTCAAAATGCCAAGTTTGCCTGTTGATACAATATATCCTACCCATGACTGCAATGTAGTTATGTCAATACATGAAAATTAGTTCATAAATAAATCTTTCAGGATAGCTTTTCTCCTAAGTGTTTTTAGACCCTCTCACAGAAGACCTAGTGACAGACAGATCAGGTTATATTTCCACACATAACCCTTGAAGCGCTCATTATCTCTTATGCCATACTGAAAAAGAGGTTGACATGGCAGCTGGACCAGTCCATGCTCCAGTGTGGCCCTATGGGATGCTCAGGAACAGGCAGTGCTGCAGTGCCATGGGGCCTTGAGGAAGCTGAGGGCCAATGTCTTCCTGAGGAGTAAGGAAGGAGAATGGGCAGCTGTCTGTCATGGAGGTGGCATGCTGTTGTCTAGCAGGTGGTTGGGGAAGGGAAAATAAGTAGTCTTGCCTTGGAGAGAAGAGCAGAAAGAAGAAATAGGAAAGTACAAGAAGAAAAGAGTGACAGGAATGTCTTTTCTACAACAACAACAAAAAAAATCTTACCCTTTGCAAATATGCAGCTTCTCTGGAGACTCTCTTATCTTTGTTCTTAGTATTACTACTGTCAGCAAAAATACCTAATGCTTAAGTAAAACATTCTACCCAGACACATTTAGTTTCTCCTGCAGCACCAAAGATGGGTATTTAGTGCTTGATGTCTTACTGGTAACTGCAATCAGGCAAAGGTGCTTTTATTAGGCAGGGTGACCTATGTAGCATAGGAGGATTCCATTTGAAGTTGGTATTAATTAGTATATGTGCCGTGTAAGACATTGCAGAAGCTTTCATAAAGATTGTAGGGGTTTTCTTGTAATGCTTCCTTATCTTGTTTAACTTGGTGGTTATTGATCAAAGTGTCCTAAGTTTTTAAGATAAGTAAAGAGAGAAATGCTCTCAATGCGGATGCATGCATTTGAAATTATTTTGAATGGATAGTGAAATGAAGTGTTCTGATGAGATCCAAAAGTGATCCCTTGCAAGTTAACTTGTCTTTCTGAATTAGTCACAGTGTATACTTTCTTAATGCAGTACAAAGTACAAATGTGAGCTCATCAGTATTTTAGCAGTGTACCTTCTCGGAGTAAATCACGCTGTGGTCCAGGCGGGACGACAGTGTTTACCCGTGAGGAATCTGCCATGCCGTGGGGAGGCAGGGTGCCCAACTGTGTGTGTTTGGCTGCTAGTGAGTATGGCTCTGGGCAGTAAGCAGCCTTTAAAGGAGTGCAAGTAGCTGGAGGTGGGTGGGGAGGTGCTTTTTTCCTGCTAGCTGTCCCATCCGTGGTTGCAACTTCAGCTGCTATTTTATTTAAAATGTGTGCTTCATATTGATGTTAATGCATTCTTCCTTAGGGACATTCCAGCTATATTACACACCTTGATTGGTCCCCGGACAACAAGCATATAATGTCAAACTCAGGAGACTATGAAATACTATACTGTAAGTATGACGTGAAATGTACTGGAAACAAAAACATGCATTAACTATCACAATATTTAGAAGAATGTGTTTGAGTCTTTGCAAAATGCTCTCTGACTAATTTGAACTCTTGTAACCTGATATCTTGATGTTATTCAGAGCTGTGTGTTACCTAATGGCAATGCCAAATATAGCTTACTTCTTTACAAGGTCATAAATCAAGTTAACAGCTTAGAATTTACAGAACAAGTGGTGCTACGTTTTGATGTTGGCTCAAATCTCCATAGATTGAAAATAATATATATAGTTGTCTAATTTGTGTCAACAGTACTGGTTATTTTGGAGGGATAAAATCAGCAGGTCTGTGCCTCTGTTGAGTTGTTTGTTTGTTAACTTTGACTGGTGATGCTGAGAACTGAGAAAAGCAATAATACTACGTTAATGAATTAATGATTATCTTGTTTTTGCATTTGTCATTTTTATATGTGAAAATATGAATTTAATATATAGTTTTTAGGCCACAAGTTCAACTTGTTTAGTGTATATCAGCCTACACTACTTTTTTATAATGTTCATATCGTTTTAGCAAGGAAAAAAAGGACTACAGTTCTGTTGCTGCATAGACAAGAAGAGCCAGAAGTTTGAATATCTGATATGTTGACACGTTCCTTTTGCTTGTCACTGCTTAGGCTTCAAATCTGGATAGCACAGTGCCTGACAATAGCAAAAGGAAGTGTTGGTGGTTGTAACTGCCTGCACAGGAAAGCGAAGAGCTGTGACCCATTGACTTTGGGCTGGTTTATTGAAAGAGACATTTTGTTGGGAAGCAATCTTTCCTTTCTATATCTAGTTGAAAAGCTGTCCAAGTAGTTGCAAGTCCAAGTAGTCTCTGGCAGTAGTTTCTCACTGCTTTAAAAGCAGAGTTTCCTGAATGGTTGACTGATTTTTAGTATGCTCATCAGGCTGGTAGAAAGGAGACATTCAGCTATTACATGAAAGCATTTATTGCATCAAAACATTTTGTAGGCTATTCTACAGTAGCAGTGGACTCAAACTACAAGTGTATTTGAGGTATGCTAATCTGAAAATGGAAATGAAAATTAAATGTAGCTCTTAGATACTGGGCAAAGCATCAGGTCTAGAAGGTACTGGTATATCTTTGCCTCTACAGTGCAATTCCAAGTTGGCCTTAAGATTTGTTTTGTTACTGTTTCTATTAATTTTATGTTTTGTTACTGTTTCTATTAATTTTAGCATCTTTAAAGAGCACCTGTATAAATGTGAGGGTATATGCTGTAACTCTTATTTCACTTTTATTACAGGGGACATTCCAAGTGGCTGCAAGTTAATCAGGAATCGTTCTGACTGTAAGGATATAGATTGGACAACGTACACTTGTGTGCTAGGCTTTCAAGTGTTTGGTAAGCACCATTTAATTTGCTTTTAAGCTACTTGATGCTTTTGTGATTTCTTTCTGGGATGGAGAGGACAGCCCAAAGAGACTGACTATTGCACTAGTCTGTGATACAGACCACTGGATACTGCACAGTGTAATTGTAATTGATATCTATTAAATCTTGAAGCCTAATATTTGATTTTTCTGCTGTCATTTTAGACTACCATCTTTGGGAAGTTTGAACTAAAAAGCTGGTATTTTTAAGTGTTCTTATGGTACAGGTAGATTGCTCTTTTCAGATGTTGATTTGGGATAGGAGACTATGCAAGTGTAAGATAGTTCATGACTTACAGTCATGACAGCACCTTGATAGCTGTAGTAAAAAATGAATAATAGACACTGGTTTTTAAGAGTAATACTGCTTAGAAAGTAAAAGATTGTACACCTAATGATTTATTTCTAAAATGTAAAAAATAATAATTTCACAGCTGACAGATACGTTAATAATCTAGTTTGGGACTGTATGCAACTAGTCCAAGCAGCTCCTGCTGATGGCATCTCTGTTGACCTTAAACAAGTTGCTCCTCTGTGTCAGGTTGAAAAGTACTACTCGATCCAATTTGTGTGAGCAGGATGCTGAATGTTTTGCTTCTACCACTGATCAGATACCTCCCTCAGTTGTTCACATTGTAGGAAACACCAAAAGCAGGCAAATCAGCAGTTTCTTTAGAAGGAAAGGTTAGGTTTACAGATCTTTACTTCTCAACTGCTAGGAGTTCATTTCTGAATATCAGTTTATACAGAGTAGAAAAAAAATCACGTAACTTAAGTGCTTTGTTTTAGCTTCTGAGAGCTATCATTTATATTTTTAGATTGTCAGCTGCTTAATGAGCAGCTAGTCAAAAGATTAGTTAGCAACTAATCAAAAGTTTGCAGGTTTTTGGGGGGCTAACACTAATGCTGTTGCATGGTGTAGATATTAGGTGGAAGGAATCTGGAGGCTTTATAACCAGCCTCATGTCTCTGAGTTCCAAAGATCTGAGGCAGAGCCAAGTGAATAAAGGGATCTGGGAAGGATTCTGACTGGTAGATAAACTGCACAAGTATTTTTTAGATATTCAGAACTTGAGAGTAGGTATCAAAGATAAACAGGCATTTGCTCTTTCTGGAGCTGAATGCAGTTGCTTAATGCAGTTTTAATAAAAAAATATTGGCTTCAATTATCCAGATAAATGTGTACCAGATTGTCTATGTGCATGTTTTTATTCATTTTGTCTGTGAAATTTAGATTGGATGGCTGTTTCCTCTTGATGCTCCGGACATGTAAGCCCAAGCTGATTAAAGCTATCAGTTCATAGTAGTCATTTCCTTATTTTGCTGCTGTGGAGCTACAACTGAAATAATAACATAACACAAATGCATTTTTTAAGTGGAATATCAGAAGATTCAGAAAACAATAATGTGAAAATCAAAGCTCTCTGTTCTGTGCTAATATGACCTTTCTCCAGAAGCAGTGAAAGCACTTTGTAAGGCAAATGAACTCACTGCTCTTGCTGGCATAGCCTGAGATCTGAAGCCACTTTTTGTTTTATTTGGAGTACTTTTATCTAGCAAAAATTTGGGGGCAGCAGAAGATGGCTTTGTTGCTACTGATAGAGTTATGTCACTTGGTGGTATAAGAGAGAAAAAGTAAACGGAGCAGCTGATCCAAGCACTTTCCCAAAAAAGTTTGATATGGAAGTGCGTATGAAGCAAAGGTTTGGAATTGAATCCCTCCATGCAGAGTAAATGGTACTCACTGACATTTATCAATGCTTGCTGAACATTTATGGAGACCAAACACTGGATATAAATGAGCACAGTGAGGCAATGGGTGGTGCTTTTCATCAGTGGTGGCAGCAACATTGGATCATGCAGGCTCTTGTTCATCACGTAAAAATACGTAGCTAATGACAGTGACTGTATTAAAAATGAGTGTTTTATAGCCAAGAATTTGCTCTATCAAATAGTGTTATTATGCTCTTTGTATCTGTTGTAATTTCCATGGAGATAAGTAGGAGGTATTACTTTCAGAGCAACCTACGTATTTAAACTTGCTAGACAAGATTCATCATGCTTTAATTTTGTATTGTCTGGTAGTTTGACACCACTTTCAGAACCATATAATTGTGGCTTGGTCCCAGACAAAGGCAATAATTTTCCTATTAAATCAGACAGTGCAGATATTTGCTGTTGGCTTTGACACCAGAGTGAGCTGGCTCAGAGATCCAAAAAAACCTGGGCACTGCTCACTTTGATGTTCAGAAGAGAGGGCTGAGTTTATGGGATTTAGGCTTTCAGGAGCATGTGTTTTACAGATTCATCTCTGTGGATGGTGTCTGTAGGCACAGGCATTGCACTGTTGTTGGCAGACTAAAGAAGATGGAAGCACACAGTTGGGATGAGAATAGCATTGCTCCCTTTTGGCTCTCAATACTACTGTAGTGGCTTAGTGGTATCCTCAGTCTGCACCCTGAGCACTTGAAGTTGCTTCCTTGTTTACTGCACATTTTCCACACTTCCCTCTGAGCAGATTCTTCTGAGAGGCTTACTCCTGACCAGCAGAATTTATTAAAATTGAAGTACAGCTGTTCAAGTCCTATTATTTCAGTATTGGGTTTTTTTTTCTTATTTTAAAGTTCTTAAAAACTCAGAACTTGGTCACTTTAATGCCTTAGCTTTCCATGCTTTCCAGCTGCACTGAAAGTGAACCCTACTTTATTATATTAAAAGATTGTCTGGCGTTTATAAATGCTGAAGGAATTTTTGAACACAAAAAAAAGTTTAATAAGAGACGCAATCTTGAATATTAGTCTTTTTAATCTTAAATTAAAAAGAAGAGGAGGTGTAGCAATTTAGGACTGCCTGCCTTAGGTGCTAGCTGAAACTTCAGGAAAATGGCTTTAAGTTTATTTATTCCTCCCATCTGATGACAGTATTTTATATAAGGAATGCAGGAAAAAGTTAATATTAATTCATTTTGAGCTACTTGGAAATTGTTTAATATATTTTTCATATTTAATTCATTGGTGCAAGAGTATTAAAATATTTCTGAATACCTTCTGCACCTTTAGTGCATGCCTTTAGTGAATAATATGCCATGTAGTTTATTGGCACTGCATTGAATGTGATAAGCTGCCTTTGTTATTGGTCAGAGAAAATGAAGTTCTCACTCAACCCACTGAAGAACTGGGAGGGGAAAAACAGCTTTAAAGTTAAATGTTTTTTTTACGATTTTGCTTAAAAAGAAGAAAATGTAGGAGTTTGAAAAGATAAGGTAGTGCTATGTCTGAGGTTTTTGCTGTATAAGGTAGTTAGCAGCATGTGCTTTTTATTCCACCAAAGCCAGTGATTATAAGGAAGGTTTTTTCATATCTTAGAGTGGATATCTCTTCCAGTAAATCAGACACAAAATCCTTCTTGAGGTGGAAAAAAATTGAAGGGAAAAAATCTTCATAACTCTCAGGTTAATCAAAAAAATTACTCTCACCTACAAAATCTGCCACCATTGGCATAAATTTCTATTTTACAGCACCTTGCTTAATTTTCTTTCAGTTTTTCTCACAGGTGTCAATCACCAGTTTTCTTATGATAATCTCTGAGGACTTCATTTTTGTTCAAACTACAGACTCTCCCCTTCCCAAATTGTTCATCCAACTGCTTTTCATCCAAGCAGTGTTGTTATTCTTTTGTCTAGACATATCAATGTCTTATTTTTTTACTTAAATCATATTGAATTGTACTTAAGCAGTTGACAGCGCTTTCATTATGAAATTTGCAGTCTGGGTTTCTGTATAAAGTATCATCAGTCATCTCTGTTGAATCATGCAAATATTAAAAATTGCAACAACAACAAAAAAAACCTCTGAATAATGTACAGTACTTTGCCTTGTTCCATACTTCAGCAGCAGTCTTGCTTTTTAAATGCTCGTGTGTAAGTCTGTGATAATTTAAGAGTTGCTAGTCTAAGCAACAAACTTAATCTTAAAATCAGCGTTAGGGAAGACTGAGCTTTTCACCAGGAAGTATATCAAGCCCAAGAGACTATCTGGGCTATGGCTGAGGGCCTGAGGGTAGAAGGGACTGTGGGAGAACAGCATTAGGCTGACAATGACTACAACATTTAATTCAACACCTGCTCCATTTTCCAATTGAATTTCTTGTTTTTCTTTTGTTATGCTTGTCTGTCACAGCCGTATAGATTTTGTTTGATAAATATCTGTTATCCAAATATCTGCACTCCTTTCTCCTAGGAGTATGGCCTGAAGGATCAGATGGGACAGACATAAATGCTCTTGTCAGATCCCATAATCGAAAAGTGATAGCAGTTGCTGATGATTTTTGTAAGGTCCATCTCTTTCAGTATCCCTGTTCCAAGCCAAAGGTAAGTCTAGACCAGTCTGATCTTATGTGTATGTTTGCACTACATGATGATTTCCTTGCCAGATGCCTGGTTTCAGCCTGAGTGTTTTGGAAAGTGCCAACCAAATCTGTGAGAACAGCACTAGAGATGAAAGCATACTTTTATCCATTAATGTAACAGTTGGTTCATAAGATTAAGATTTTTATAACGTGAATTTATTTATATATATATACTGAAGTAACCGTAGTTATCCTTAAGTTCTGGAGCAGAAGCTTGATTCATTCTGTTCAAAGGCCTTAATTCATAGAAACATTATGGTTGGAGAAGACCTCTAAGGTCATCTAATCCAGTCATCAACCTATCACCAATATGTCCACTAAACCTTGTCTCTAGGTGCCTCATCTACATGTTTCTCAAACATTTCCAGGGAGGGTGACTCCACCACCTCCCTGGGCAGCCTGTGTTAGTGCCTGACCACTCTTTCAGAGAAGTTTTTCCTAGTATCCTAGTTTGGTGTACATTACCTTTCAAATGATGTTCTAAAATTTTCCTGAGTTGTAAACATTAAGAAGAGAAGATTTATTGTATGGGAAATCTAAGCATATATTGGTACTTGTATATGTGAATGAAGGGCTGAACAATATTAACTTTAGATTTCAGTATCCTGTGTTCTTGTAATGAAATGTGTGATTCTTTTTTCCTGCTTATTTTAATAGGCTCCAAGTCACAAATACAGTGCTCACAGTAGTCATGTGACAAATGTCAGCTTTACCCATAGTGATAGTCACTTGATCTCAACTGGAGGGAAAGACATGAGTATTATCCAATGGAAACTTGTGGAGAAGGTAACTCTACCACAAAATGACATTGTTGTAGACCTCGGTGCAACCAAAGTGCCCATTTCTGCCAGTGAGAATGCTGTACAGTCTCCTGCTCCCCTCCCACAGCCTTTTAACGAAATGAACCAAATTGAAAGTGTAACTGGCAGCTCTCCGGCCTCCCTGGAGAGCAACTTGGAGCAGTCTGCAGAGGCCAGTGAGGAACAGAGCGAGGAGCAAAGTGATGGGAGCAGCCTGGACCCTGCGGAGCCAGGCTATGAGGAGCCCTCCAATGAGACGAGTGAGGAGCACAGCGAGTCCACGGTCACCGAGGAGCAGCAGGAGAACTTGCCAGAGTCATAATGCTCCCAGCTCAGATGGTTGTTATTGTCCCTTGGTGTGCGTGCTTTCATTACAGGGTGAGGGTTCAAATAGGCAAAAGTAGCTGAGATTCATGACCACTCCAGCTTTTTGAGTTTTGGTGAGATTTTTAGTCTGAGCTTCAGTTCAATATGTGGAACCATCCCAAGGGCCTGGCTTTGATGGTTTGTATCAAGATCTGGTCCAAGTTAGTAGTGGACATTATCATAGATCCATTGTAGTTCTGAAATTGCTGTTAGGAAGTGGCATGAAATATATACTGGAAAAAAAGGTTAGCTCTAAGAATTAGCTGAGATAGACCACCTTACCTATGTGAAAGGGCTTTCTGAAAGAGCTAAGCTGATGGGAAGCACTGAGCAATTCCAGCTGAGGAGTTACTGTGCTGCTTTTTCTAGGTGCGAAGACAAACAAAAACCAAAAATCTCTTGGTAGGGCTGTTTTCCTTTGTTTTTTCTTAGTGAGAAAAATAGAGGAAAAACAATGTAATGATGCCACGTGTATGGCAATGCCTTCTTGATCTAATACATATGCAATTTTCTAACACTACTAATTCCTAGTGGAGTCTGGACATGCTCACAGTTGGTCTGCCCTGGGTGCTGCTAGTTCTAAGGCAAATCCTATTGAGGAATGGTGTCAGCTGTTCCATTTTTTTAGGCTACTTAATAACAGACTAACCAAATACTGGTGTGTTTCACTTTTCATGACCTGAAGGTTGATTTAAACAGTAGGATCCAATTGTCTCTTCAAAGAATTGCCTAGAGAGTCTTTACAGTGACTTCGATGTGAATGGCAGAGAATGTGCGACAAGAACACAAGTCAGATGGGCTCCAGAGTTAAGCTTTAAGCCTTCAAGCAGAACTTGCTCCATCCGTAGTAGGAGAAAAATACAGTTAACTTAAATTATTAAATTGGTGCTTGGGATTAGTATATTAAGTCGGTAATTTTTTTCTTAATTTTTAGAGGTAACTCTAGGAATCATTAAACTGCAATCTTTTTCTTTTGTTTTTGTTTTCAGACTTGCTGATATATTTTGTGACTTTGTTTTTTCCCACCCCTACTTCCCCACCACCTCTCTCTCCCCAGGTTGCTCTAAGCCATGCAGCTCTCATGTGGCTATACCTGGCCAGTTACGGGATATCTTGGCATTTGTTATGCATTTGGAAAGTAATTTTTTTTTTTAATGAAGTTTGTCAGATAGTTACAATTTTTTCTTAAGTGCATACGTTTCCTACTTTAAAAAGATATAGTTTTACTGACAGATATCCATTTCCTATGTACTTGTTTATATTTTGATTACATAGAATTTTCTTTTTTAACTTGCTGCATTGTGCTGGTATTTTAGTTCTTAGTTAGAATATCATGTTTAGATACTTTGGATGAGTTCATAAGTCTTAATTGTGCAAGCGTTTACGTGATTGTGCCATTCCAAAGTGCATCAAAACTGTCATTCCCTTACTAGTATCTTCTCAGGAGAAATGCTACAGATCAGGTATTTAGTCATCATTTGGAAAGATAAAAAATAAATGGACTCCCAAAGGACATTTAGAACATTTATATATAAAATATATAAATATATATATACACACATATATATATATTAAAAAATATATCCTCTTGTTTACAACAGTTCCAGAAAACCTCAAAGTAGTTCCCTTCGGATGGAGGGACAAATGGATTCCAAGCAACCCATCTGTTTAAACTGTGCTCTGTACATAGTGTTTTTCTGGAGAGCTCTAGTTTGCCTGACTTGCAGATTTGCCAAAAAGCAGCCATGGAAGATAAAGATCAGCTTATCAGACTGTATGGTTCCGAAGGAGGAGTATGGCATAGGTTTAGAAAATTATCCTAGTAAAGGAAAAAGGATTTTAGAGCTAATGAGGCACAGAGCTCTCTGTCATTTTTATGAACTCCACGTAAGCAACACATTTCATTTGGAACATCTGTCACCTGGGGTTGCCATGTAAAATGAGAGTTATATAGTTGTGATATTCTTGTGTTTGTAGTTCAGAAGACTCTACTAATATGCAAAAAGCCTTACAGCTTTCAATTGCTGGCAACTACTGTTTAACAAATAATTAAATCTGTGATAATGGATGGAAATGGGTGGGATTATGTAACGGTAGATGTTTTAGAAAAATAATTGTGAATGAATTAAGAGTGTTTCATGTGAAGATGTTTGAGCCATTTCTATCTATCATGCATTCCTGTCTGAAGGCAGAAAATTTTGAAGATTAAAAAAAAATAAAGTAATCAAAAGAATATATTGCAGTGTATTTTTCATATCTGTTCTGGCTCCTTCTGTATGCAGTGTGCATGTTGTGGTCACATTTGTGATGTCTGTGTGTATTGTTTTAGAAGACAAGGAAAAGGACCTCATTTATTTTGTGCTTTCTTGATGACTTTCTAAAAATAAGCATCAGGAGCATCGGCTGACACTCCTAAAAATTGTTCATTCTTACTTTTGAAATGTTTTGATGGGCACTGTGGGATTACAGGTAGGTAAGTAAGTATCAGTCCTGGTGTGTATTGCAGGCTTACCTTCCTGGGTTCTACATGCTTCTGCAAGTCATGTGAAAAGTACAGGGTTATTTGTGAAATAATGTGTTAAATATCGTGATGCTTCCACATTGCTGATGGTCTCCATCCAGTTGCAGATGAAGAAGGTCATAGAACCATTTGGAAGGGGCCCTTAAAGGCCACCTGATCCAACTCCTTTGCAGTGAACAGGTGCACCTACAACTCAATCGAATGTCTCCAGGGATGGAGCATCCAGATCCTTCCTGAGCAAACAGTGCCATTGCCTCACCACCCTTACTGTAAAAAAAGTCTGTTTCATTATATCCAATCTGAATGTCCCCTCTTTCAGTTTAGTTTAAAACCATTTTCCCCTTGTCCTATCAAGGGTCACAATATGCTTCAGTTTCTTAATATATTCCTTGTGAATGATTCTTTGTCTTTTATAAGGCTTTGAATCATATTGCTTGCAGCTGGTTCCTGTCATTTGCAAAAGGAGGATGAGGTGGAGAAGAGAAAGAAACCTCCAAGATAGCCAAATACGTTATGTTTATCCTTGCTTAAAAGCAAACAAACAAACTAAAAAACATCAGTGCCACATCTTGAGTTTGACTGGAAATCTCAGTGACTGTTCTTTTCCATCAGATTACGTAGCTGTTCTAAACTGAACAAGCAGGTGCCTTAAGATCATGCTATGCTGTTTCCAGCACACCCACAACATCACGTACCACTGGAGTATGGGCAGCTGTGCAATAGCATGCTCTTCCTGGCGCTACTCCCTTTCTGTCCAAATTCAGCATGAGGTTTTGCTGCTTTTCCTGGGCTGCTCAGTAAGGTGGGAAGCAGCCTTTCGCACAATGGAAGCAGGATATGGCTTCAGGTGCCTGCTGCTGTGGAACAGCATCTTCTGCTGCCAGCTCAGGCAACTTGTAATGGTGATGGTCTTTGTCAAGTGGAGCTGGACTTCAGAGTGGAGGCTGCACTTAAGACATTAAAACTATTGTCATTGAGCATGACAGAAACTTTGAACTCTACATTAAAACGTTTGTTTAGGTTGCATAATTAAATAACTGAATGTTAGGAAATGTCCAGTATATGCATCTTTATGATATGCATCCATATTCAGATGTATCTCATGTGAGGTGATATTAACAGAGTTTTGCATATAAAGGGATACAATATGATGATATATTATGTGGGGCTTTTTGTTTTCCTTCCATGAAAGCTCCAGAGTAGGTAAGGAATAGACTACAGGTGTAGATGGGTGATGGGGAACCAATCATTTCTTACATTTGATCTTCCTATAATTCTCATTATAAATAACAAGTTCTTGTATATGATGTGTGTTAAGTTCCAGCCTCTTGGCTTTATTTAATCATCTCTAGAATGCATAGATTGTGGCTTTAGTTTTCTTTGAAAATGTGGAGCAAAAATTACGTTTTATGACACTGATAACAAGACCCTATCTGAAGTGTAGACTCTGTAAGTTATACTCCTTTACAGTTCCTTCAGTTCAGTGCGGTATTTTAGCTGAATTGGGACAAAAAGAAGTAGTAAGCCCTCGTGAAATTTAAGCTGATCTGAGCCAAAGAAAAAAGTTCTCCTTTCTGCTGCCAATGAATTGTTGATTCCTGGCAACAAAAAAATTAATATTACACGAGATGGATTTAACTTGTGTGAGAGTTGTGCTGCTTGTTTGCTTTCCTTCTGAACAAGTCCAAGCCCATTGCCTAATCCTTATTTCTCACAGATGGTTTATGTACTAATACTTTAATCAACTGAGAATGAAAACCTGCCTACAGTGGGATTGTACAATCAGGAATCGGAGCAGCATACGCATTGTAAGCTGTTTAATGTATACAGTGATGTATTTGTGTGTACATATGAGCATCAAACAGAAAAGACTTCCCAGGGACATTTTTTTAATGCTTGAAAGAGAAGGATAGGTTGCTGCCTTTATGCTGCAGGGAAGCACGAGCTCTTAAGGAGGTTTAGGAGTGTAGGGAAGGGGAAGCATTCCCAGCAGGATGTGAGGTGAGAGGGATGGGGAGGAATTGAAATGGTGGAACAGCATTTCCCATCTCAGTGCTGCAGGACAGGCCCCATTGCTCCCTGCGGGTCTGGATGCACACCGTCATTGGGATGGATGAGGTGAAGTTCCCGACATATCTTCTAGAGGTTAATGCTTCAGAAGAGGTAACTCACAATCTCGAGGCATTTTACCAGGTAAGCAAAAAACCCCCTCAGAGTTTGCTTTCTGACAAGCAGTGTGCTTTGTTTGTTCATTGGGATTGCTGCCTAAAACACTATTATTTAACTCAGTAAAGGCTGTCTGGATTATAGTCATTATCCCTACTTTTTTTTTTATGAAGTGCATTAAAGTTACTCTTTCTAGAACATACTCTGTATGAGGTGCTCGAGATAGCTCTTGAGATACCAAATTCCACATTGTGAGATGTTTCATCAATCTGATGCTTCTGTTGTGCACTGCTAGTTTATCAAACATGCTCTGAATCTCCCATGACACATCCTGCTCTCATCCGACACACATCATTGGACTTCCAGTCTGAAAGCAAGAGCGAACATTTGCTTATGATGGTGTTTCAGAACTTAATTCCCCTTTAAATAGGCCATCTTTTTATTCTAGTCAGTGTTCAAACATTCCCTCCTTCCCCCCTACTCCCCCAGTACATATCCATCAAATCCTTGTTCTGGGAATAAGTTTTTTCCTTTAGCCTCTCTTATGTCCATTCATATGCCTTTAACTATATTCAATAAAATTATAGAGGAGGGGATGTCCTAAGCTGTCTACATCTGATGAGGGTACTACTTCAAAGGCCAACTACTATGGAAGTGGTATGGAATTAATTCCTAGTGTTTTAAACGAAAGCCTTTGTCTGGTACTGTGTGGATGATAAAGTAGAATTGGGAACTTTGAGACCGAGATAAAAAAGAGATGAGAAAACATAGTGTTATTGTTACATTAGGGAGGCCTGGAGACTGACCCTGAGCTCAGGAAAAGTAGAACTGAGCACACGAACAGTTTTCTATATGACAGTGAGAAAAGAAGAAAACTGAGCTATGTAGCATGCAGAGAAGGTAAGTGTATGCTAAGCTCCCGTTGTTTCTTCTGGCACCAGTGTGATTGTGAGCTGCATCCCTGCTGGGCTCACTGTTTTAAATTACTCCCCTGCAGGTAGAGTTTCAATGGAAAATGTTGTTTTCCACTTTGCATTAGTTGGACTTTTTTCCTTGAAGGCTTGGGCACTGCAGAATTAAGACTAGAGAGAACAATCAAAATCTTGTGCACATGCATATACCCAATACTGTTAATGCTAATGGGATCTTTGTTGTGAATGTTTAATGTGAAGCATCTGTAGCATAAACAGAACTCCTATTTGCCCCAAGTTTAGCAAACGAAAACTTAAGTGCTGGTTGGAGTGTTTTGTGTGAAGCCGGGTCTCTTGCATCAAAAGCTGTCATGCATTAGCATTGCTTATATCCTAAATTGTGAAGGGTAAGTAGTCTTGTGGTGTTTCTGCCACCTGGGTGGAAAACGTGAGACATTTTAAACTGCTGAAAAACCTACCTAGGACAGAGTTGTTGGGGTAGGTGTCCATCCCACGCTTAGTCAGGACTATGTGTACACCCACATTAACCTCAGCTTATATTGGAGAATTTTGATAGATTCAAGGACTAAATGATATTGCTTGTGTATGGATGTAAGTCCATATACTTAGCAAACTGGCCAAAGGTTGCTGTGGGCTGCATTCTGCCCCACAGTAGGTTATGTAGGTCTGTCAAAGTTTCTGGTTAATGAGAGCACTACATCATCATTGTCAGTGCTGGTGATGTTCTTGGAACAGTTTCACTGACTTGGATTATTTCCTCCCAGAGTGTTTTCATCTTAGCAGCAGCACACAGATATCAAGATCCATGAATTTCAAAGAGGACAGGGGAAGAAATTTTTGTACTCGGAGTTCTCATTTACTGCATTGATTTGTCCTTTTTTTTTTTTTTTTTTTCCCCCTAATTTGTCACAGTTTTGAGCAAAACTGACTGGAAATGGGCAAAAGGAAGCATTGCCACAAGGTCTGCCACAGGTTTGACTGCAAAGCAAGTTCCTGTGTCTCTCCAGTTCTCTCTGGAGTTTGACCAAGGTCACAGATTTTAATGTCACAGATAGTATGAAAGACATTCTGTTTTAGCTCTGTTGTAAGGAAAGACTTAGGGAAACTGTGGGTTGTATCCCGTTTTGGGCTCTGAATTATTGCCAACTATAATATTTCTTTCTTGCATGTGCTATCTCCTGAGGATCATCCTGTGGGAATAAATCATAACCCTACAACGGAGAGCAGGAAGAATTTGTGCATGGAAGGGGGAGGGCTGTAGATGGGGAGAACTGCCATAAATGGTTTACTTTGCAGTCCAACTTCTTGCAGAATTCACGTTTCTAGAGACTTGTCCAACTGAAAATCATGGGGATTGACTCCTAAGTTTCCGAGTAGGTACATCTGTAAGAAGTTGGGAGCTTGGTGTGGGGGTTCTCTGCACACAAGTTTTTGCACATCTATTATGCTGTATCTCTGTAAAATACGTATTTAATGAAATCTGCAAGAAATTGAGGGAATTAAAATCACATGTGCAAAAGAACAGGCAAGTTTTTGATCAGCCCAGCATGAAACTATTTTGTTATCCTTAACCTGATTTGTTTGGTTTCCATTGTTCCTTTAAATTTTCAAAGG